TTTCTTCTCATGATCCTGGCTTGAGTCTAGTACTCGCATTAAGAGAGATAGGGACGTCTTAGAAGACCAGTTGACCTCGTAAGCTGCTATATGATCTAGAAAATCCTCTACCGACGATCGTGGTTGTTTGTTGCTATAGAGGTCTGAAGAGTTACATTGGTTTGAGTTAGGTTTGCTTGGGGACAAGCAAACGGTTAAGTGTGGGGGAATTTGATAGACCAATAATTACACATGTTTATACCTCTATTCTTGAGCCGTTGGATAAGAGATTCTCGTGTTTTAAACTGATTTCACACTAGGTTGTGTGTTTATGTCATATTTCAGGACTTGGTGTTGATGTAAAGGCAAGGAAACGAGATTTGGGGCAATTGCTAAGAGAGGCGGGGGAAATCTGTTTTTGGACGCCAAGAAGCAGAAGGGGTCCCGGCCAGAGAGCAAAAACACCCGATCGGGTATTAACCCCTTTGGTGCTGCGCTGGGTTTCGAAATCCCCGGCCGGACACTGGAAATACCCAACCAGGTATTATGGCTGGGGATCGCGATCTGCTGGTTCTTAAGGAAAAGAAGACCAACTTTTGAAGGGTTCCGAGTTTTAGAGAGACAAAGCTGATACCTAGAGAGAGAGAGAGTGACGAACCTGATTCTCCAAGTGCCCTAGATCGATCTTCATCACCATTGGAGCCCGGTGAGCTTGGAGAAGTGCTGATTGATTGCCAGAAGCAAAATCCCATCTTTCACAGTATGGTTTCCGCGTTTGAGCTAGATTTCCCTTATCTCTCTATGGAGTAACTTTCTCATTCACCTGGGTATGAAGAACCCTAGATTTGTATGTTAGGTCTGATTGTATGAACCCAAGTACGAATTCAGTGATATGATTATATTCAATTGAGGTTTGATTTCTTGAATGGCATGAATCCTGATCAAATTCCTGTTATTTCTGCTTTGACCTAGAAAGAGAGTATCTGCCTAGGTTGATAGAACACCCTTGATTGAAGGTAGTGAATTGACGACTTTAGTCGAGGAGTTAATTCACTATTATGTACCGGATTTACTTCGGTAGAGGAGGTTTGGTTCGTTAGGGCCTCAATCTGTTTACTCCGGTGGAGGTTAGTCGCCCGCTGGGGACTCAGATTGAGAGGGTCTGGAGACCTTTAGTCAAGACTGCAGACTATTTAAGAACCTCCCGCAGTATAACTATCATTGAACTTGAACTTGGTGAATTACAACTTGGCTTAACTGCAGTCTAGGGGGAACCATATCTGGGTGACCTCTCTCAACTTGAACACAACTTTTACTATTTTGCTTGCTAGTTTAACTAAACCTTCACTACACTTGAACCGCGAGATAACAAGACTTTCACGGGGTAGTCATCACACCTAGAACCCTAGTTGACAATTAGAACTGAACCCGCTATACTACGGATTAGTAGGTGGTTACACTTGGCCACTTTCTAGTGTGACGGTAGAGGCATGTCATGTACTCCATGCTGTCGTACTGAAAATTAAATTTAAAATATCAGAAATTCTACACATCTCAAAACAATTAAAACACAAATATGAATTAATAAAAAACTAACCGTTGCGTTAATTGCAACTCCTCTACGTGTGCCTGAACGTTTAGTAACATCTCGATACCACTCTAGATGCTCCTAGTGTTAGTCTAAAGAGGAGTCACTGTAGCTCATACGCGCGATGAACTCATGTCGACGGTTCCATAAATCAATCGACTCGCTGGCCTGCTTGTATCAACTGCTGCCCACGTGATGGCCCATGTTGGCCCTTGCGAATGATAAACCTAATCTCAGCCGCGGGATGTGGCTGATGAGGCTGGTCCTGCATCATGCCAAACTGTCTGAGCACGCGATCTGGATGGTGCCACATCGATGATGAAAAGCAGATAAGTGGAACTACTGCTCGAAACATGTCGGACTGGATCACAGTACCGCTGAAATCCTGGGCTCTCTCAAAGTAAGGACGTCACTACACACAAAAATTGTTCACATAATTAATCCTAAATCTAAAACAAACCAATGAAAACTATTCTATAAAACGAAATGTTATATACTAACCACGAAGGTCGTGCTCTCGTCAAACCACAGCTTGTACGGATAGAACTGATCACCATGTTGACGGGTCTGAGTCGGAATCCATCGAACACCATGTGGGAATACGTCCTCGGTAATATGTGGTCGCGTCTCTATATGTAGTGGTGTTGTATGAGGAAATCGCTCCCATGCCCAGAGCTGCAGTAAGGCGGACCATCCACCAAGGTCACCACATAGTGAAGAGGACTGCGTCATTTGCAACACCGACTTACCCATTTCATGATACATGTAGGATAGAACAACTACTCCCCAGGCGAACCTCTCAGCTCTGTGCCAATCCTCCACCAAGAGTAGGTACAGCAGATGAACTAAACCTCTAGACCGATCGATGAACAAAACACCTCCCATAAGAGATAGAGCATAAGCTCGTGCAAACTGCCATGTAGTCTCTGGTGATGCATTTGGCGGCAGCTGATCGAAGGTTTCCCTGAGCCAAGCAAACCTAATGACACTGTTGAAAAGATCAGTAGGAGCCCGTCCTAACAGTCGAAGACACGTATCCGACCAGTCCTCGTCTGATATGTCTACTATGACGGCATCACCGTCGATCGCTAGACCGGTCAGTGTCGCAACATCCTCTAAAGTGATCGTCACCTCACCAAACGACATGTGGAAGGTCGATGTCTCGGGTCGCCAACGCTCTACGAGCACAGTAATCAAACCCGGATCACCAGTAATAGGGACCAATGGCAGAACCGTAAACAAGCCCTCCTCGATGAGGTACGTCTGATAATGTGGATGGTACATGACTAAATTGCTCGTACATCGAATATGGTAAGGTCGATCACCAGCCTATAGTGCACAAAACTTATATTAATTCAATTTCATACGTACTTCTAAATTCAGTTCACCTAGTATTTATATATCTAATTTAAACTTATTCTAATTTTAACATATATTCATGCGTAATTCTATTCTAATTTCAGTTCAGTTCACCTAATAAAAAACTATAGAAGTAGTTGAAGGACTTACCTCGTTTGCTCAAACCGAGTCAATATGATGGTGCCCATATCTCCAAAGAAGTACCGAATCAATCGGAGTTGTATCAATTGTCGCAGGTGGTGGTCTCATGGAATAACTAGGGGTGGAAATTGGGGTGAGTGTGGTTACGTGCCCCCACATTTTGCGGGTACTCACACCCACAAATTTACAATTATGCTACCCACAACCCGCACCGCAGTGGTTAGTGGGTAACCACTACCCACTTGGGTTTGTGCGGGTTGGGTGTGGTTACCTGCAAAAATCCATATTTGCAAGCATAGAGTTCTAGTCGCCACTAACGTATTTGTTGTTCGTAACTAGATTATAGTGATATACACTTGTGTTGTTCGTGGAGATACAATTTTGTACATCGATCTTACTCAACGTGGAGGTTTTTTCTTTTTGAGTTTGATATTCAACTTTTGTGCTAGAGAGCTGTGATTTCATATTTCCCTGAATAGGGGTGAAATATGACAATTAAATATGATCTTGTATTTTTTTCACACAAAAGCAAAAACATACTGATAAAAGTTACAAAAGGTGTTCACTTTTAATGAATTAATTATTCTCCACTCTATCGACTATAGTGTTCTATAAACTAAAAATTCTTACATAAAACTGATTAGGTGTGTCTTTTTTATTTGGTGGCTACTTTAATTTTTATCCTCGCACTTTTCACATACTATTATATTATAAAGTTAATTCACTAAATAAATATAATGAGTGTGGTTATTGTGGGTTATTCGCGGTGGGTAGTGGATAACCACTAACCACAAAATCGTTATTTTACTACCCACACCCAACCCACTATCCACAACTTGTGGGTATGGTTACCCACAATAGGTGCCGGTTGGTGCGGTTTGCGGATTATCCACAACCCGCAACCCAAACTTCCACCGCTAGGAATAACTATCCATAAGCCTAGGAATTGGAAAAAAAAATTAGAACATAAAAAAAAACTAAATTAAAAAAAAAATTCCTGCCGCCGGCAAGAAATCTGGCCGCCGTCGGCGAACACTCACCTCCGTAGCGGTCGCCGCCGCGACTTCGACCTCGCCGCGCTCTCCCCCTTCCTCTGCCGGCGATTGGTTCCTCGTCGTCGGACATTCTCTCCACTCTAGATCTACTGCTGGCTGTTGAAAGGCGAAAGGCGAAATCGGCCCGCGCTGAGGCGGGGTCGCCTGGGTCTCAGGTGAGGCTGGGGCGAAGCCGCTCTCTATCCAGACAAGCCCCCTTGGAGTCGGACGGGACCGCTGCTTGGAGAAGGAAGGAGAAGCGATTATTGGTGGTGGTTTCCGGGGGAGAAAGGAGATGGGATAAGACACGAGTGGCGAGAAGACAAAGTAAAAAGGGTATGGGCGCCCCCGCCTCAAACTCAAGCGTGATAGTTTTTCCAGCGGCTCCGCCTGAGCCTCGGGCGGGCTCGCTTCTAACCCTCTACAAAACATAATATCTGTGTAAATTATTTTTAAATCATGATAAAATAAAATAAAAAGTGAAATTAACCCTCTAGAGTCTAGACTCGTGGTTGCCCCCTTTTTTCATCAAAAGATTAGCCCAAAATCGAATAAATTGACCCTCCTATTTTAGGATTGGGCCCGACTCTCTAGAAACTGACTCGGCCCAACCTATCTGCAGTCCTGCTTTTACGGCTCCCGACTCTCCATCAACCGTAGATCACATAGCACATCATGTAATCCAAGGGCTGAGATGCGCTCCACATTGTGCTGAATTTGGCCATTGAGGCGTTCTTACTCTACTCTGCTGCCCAATCAGCAAACATCGCCGTCTAGGTCATTTCCTTTTTCTCCACCAAATCGCCCTTTGTCCCGACATTCCGCCATTTTCTGTATTGCAGCCGATAACCTGGACTCAAGTATCTCGGAACTTTTTGGTTTGTTTCCGCTTTCTTACGATGTCCTCCGGCGCTCGCGGCAGTGACCGAACGACGGAGCTGGTAAGTTGAATTGCCTTTGGTTGGTTGCTTGCTTTACCTTCGTTCCGCGATTTATTTTGTGTTGCTCGGCTTCTGTCACCGGGGTAGTTCGGGTTTCCCGTGCTGGTAACGATAATGTTTGTCCAAGGAAGCTGGTGTAGAAGAAGGAGCGTTTGGTGGTTTTTTATAAACTCAAACGGAACTAATCTGTTATACCTACTTGCTTTTCTCAGCCATTCAGTAGCGATACCTTTTAGTTTGACGTATATATCTAATGTCATTTTTTGCAGTCGGCTGAAGATTATGAACTGAAGCAAAAGGTAGACAAGTACGTTAAATGGATTATAGACGGGTTTACGAGGTTACGGCAGGTAGCCATCCGCGAACTGAGGTACGGAGAAGAATTAGTTTTTCTTACTTCATGTTTTCGTCCTAAATTTTTTCTCCGAACTTGCAGCTGCTGGTTTTATCACTATATAAGTCTTGTAACTTGAACCTAAAATATTTTTGTATGGTTATAAGCTGTGTTAAAGATGCATGTCCTGATTAAACGACTTGGCTTGCCTGTCAATGATGATGCATTAATGAAGTTTAAAGTACACAGTGGGGGCATGTTAGCTAACTCCCTTTGGGGTGTGATGTCTACCTGCATGTTTGTGCACTGTCAATGGTGATGCATTAATGAAGCTTTATGTAAACAGTGGGGGCATGTTAGTTTACTCCCTTTGGGGCGTGATGTCTACCTGCATGTTTGTGCACTGGCAAGCACTTGTGCAAATATGCTCTCAAACTATTGTGGAAGATGCTGGAAACTGCAAGTTACAGTGGTGATGCATCAAATGAAGCTGTACGGTAAACAGTGATGGCATGTTAGTTGGCTCCAATTTGGGCACGATATCGGCCTGCATGTTTGTGCACTGGAAAGCACCTGTGAAATTATGCTCTCGAACTACTGTGGGAGATGCTGGAAACCACAAGTTAAAGTTAAGGAGACAATTCATTTGAACTCCAGGATATAAGCATTGTTCTCAGCTTAATTTTCCTTTGTTTTTATTTATTGCTTCTTTCAGCATAATCCAGGACTCAGCCAACTCATTGAGGTTTGTGCAGCCTCATTTTGAATCACTGATTAAATGTTATCTAGACATGCCTGAATCATATCAGAAGGTACCTCTTCTTTGTTCTTGGTAGGCAAACCCCATTATCTGTTTGTATCCTCAGCTTAAGTGATTTACTATGTTTCTTGTTACAGAATTGGTTGATTGATATCCTCTCTGCCTTGGCCTTGAACAATGTCGTTGAGGGAGGGCGGGTATGGCTTCGAGGGAATATCTTAAATTCCTTATTTCTATCCTTCTCATTTGTGCTTTGTTTCAGCATTGTGGAACTGGCATTAATGATTAGGTTCTCTTGTACTATTTCAGGAAAGCTTAAAGAATAGCTTGCTGGGTCCTGAGGGTGAGATTTGTTCATTGGGCCATTATGACATCTGGTGAGATTTGTTTCATCGAAGATGGTTACTTGAACCCATTGGTGCAGTTTGCTTAATTTTGAAGATAGGTTGCACAAGCCTCCTGAAAATCAGGCTGTTCTAATTTTCAGGAAGTTGGCTGGGCAAATTGTACAAGAATATGCTAAGAGACAGGTCCTGGCCTACTCTTTAACTATGTATTTTATGTTCTGTGCTATATGAAGTTATTTGTTGATGTACTGTATTGGAGATGCTATTCTCACCTCAGATATATGACTGCTTGTACTGCAGAGTAACCTCGAAACTGATGATAGTAAAAAGCTTGTACAGCAAATTGTTGCTTTCTACATGAAGGTATTCTGCAAAGGAACTTTGTAGGACATTCTGTGCTCTTTGATCTTTTATATATTGTGGTTGAGTCATTATTGAAGCTACCCTTTACTTATGATTTATTGGGAGCGTTAATTACGGAAAACTCACGAGAACTTTCTTTTCAGAGGAGAAGGAAAAGAATTATTTTCTAACATCTGTGGTCAATTGTCATGGTGTATACCATATTGAGCCGGATGTCCTTTTCTTCTACGAATTTCAATTCTATTATTCTGCTCAACTTGCTGTTGAACCTCAAGCAGTGAACCTCTTAATGGAGGTCCTGCACAGTAGGTGATTTAAGTTTTTTGCTGGCTTACTACTTTCTAACTATATTACGGAAAACATTGTCGAGGCTGAAATATAGAGTTGTAACTGTGTAGGTAAAAGAAAATCATCTTTTGATCGAGCATTTTGATGGAGACAGTACTTGTGTTGTCTCGACTTGTTCATACCTCATGACTGTAGTACGGTAAGAGCATCACCTTCATCATCTATATAAAACAAGTGACACTGCCTCTCAATTATTAAAATAATGGATTTACTATATGGGACTGGTAGTATTTGTATAGAATGCTGTTCTTCCTCTGTCCTGTTCGGGAAAAAGTGTTACTGGTTTAAAAAAATGCTTGGCAAAAAAAAACTAGAAGGTCAATTGTTATTTCTTTGTAATTTGACTGGTTATCTTGTCAAAATATGTTGCAGACACCTTGCTCAGCCTGATGCCATGATAGGTTATGATATTGTGATCAAACTATTGCTAACATTCGAGGAGTATCATCATGCGTTTCTATATGCTGTGTTGCTTGATAACCTAGAGGTATGCACCGAATGTGATGATGTAACTGGGTTTGTTTTTCAGTCTACACTTTTAAGCTGTGAAGGGGCGCTGATTCTCCAACTTTTTGGTTGTGGTGTGTTTGACTGACTGAATGTGTTATGTCCTGTGTATGATGCAAGTAGATTGAAGAGATGAGGCATATGCTATCTCTTTTTAACAAATTTCTAAGTTATGATGCAGTATATGAAGCAGGTTTTAACTTCTTGTGATGATTCCATCCGTAAGGAGGAATTTTGTTACATCCTGGGTCTACAGGTATGCATTAGATCTTCCACTCCTTTTTCCTTATTTGATGTGATAACTTTTTCCTTGTTTTCTGATTGATTGTTCATATGTACAGAACATAACTTTGACTCTGGACGAAGATATGTTTGATGTTCAAGAGGAAAGACGTGCAATGCAAAGCATTATCAACAATTCCAATTTAAGTAAAAAATTTCTTGGACTTGCTAATTTCCGGGGAGTTGAGGATCCAATATCTCCTGAAAATATCTGTAAGGTTTGTAGAGCAAATGACCTTTTTTTTAATGAATGTACATTAGTTAAACATGTTTGAGATTGATTAGGCCACTTTAATGGGCTGTTCATTTGATTTTCTTTTAGTCAAACTTGCTTGATCTCCGGAATTCAGCAAAAAGACCTTTACCAAGGAAGAATTTGGCTCGTATTTTTCTGGAGACATTTGTCAATGCAAGCTCAGGAAGGGTAAATGTTGCCGCAACGATTTGTGAGGTTCTTGCAAATAAAAAAGATGTTAATTGTTTTTATTTTCTTCAGGACCAGTTCAGGAAATCTGTGGAAAAATTCACAAGAGGACCTTTAAGTTTTATACTTAACGAGAATGACTACAGATGGTTGACATCAACAAAAAGAATACAGTTTAAGGCCAGTGCTGTTGCTGGTTTGGTACGTACCATTCTTTCCTTCACCACTTTTTGAAGGGGATAATTTTCTTTGATTCTGAATTTGCTATTTTATTGGTTGTGCAGGGTTTGATTATGCTATGGGACGTTGATTCGTACCTTGATCTAACTAGCGAGTATCTCCTGAGCAACGACAGCAACATACTCGCTGGTGCTCTATTGGGAGTTGGAATTGTCAACAGTAGAGTGAAAAAAGATCGCGTGAGTGTTTGTGTTGATCATTTCACAGGAAGTATCCTTTATATCATCAGAGCTTATGCAGTGTTTATTTTGTAGGCCCAACAGCTTATGCATTATTTATTTTTGTAGGCGCTGCCTTTATTGAATCAGCATTACGATAGTGAAGACCCTTTAATCAGAATTGCTTCAACTATGGGCTGGGGAATAGCATATGCTGGAACTCAAAATGAGCAGGTTCTATGTTTTGCTTATTTTATTTCCTTCATTTGCACTCATTCCACTATGTTTCTGTCCAGGATACGTAATAATTCTTTGTGTGATTACAGATATGCAACAAGTTGATCCCCGTACTTGATAACGTTGGAGAGAGACTCGATGTTGCAGCTTTTGCGGCAATCTCTTTGGGTTTGGTATTTGTTGGTTCCTGTAATAAAGTGGTTGCAGAAGCTATTATATCTGCTCTGAAGAACAGGAATGAGTTCGAGAAGCCTATTTTCAAATTCTTGCCGCTTAGTCTTGGACTCATATTTTTGGGGGCAGAGGTATATGAATTTAAGAGTTGGATTGGTAAAATTTGGTGTTCTTGTGCAATTGGTACATTAGTATTAATATGATATTCAATTAGACGGTAGACAGTCATGTACACTTTCTGTTATCTGTTGTCATTTTAGGGAAGAGTAGAAGATGTCGAAGCGGATGTCTCAGAGATAGATGATGTGCAGATCAGAGAGTATTGTTCTTTGACCCTACTTTCTTGTGCCTATGCTGGGACTCGGGATTCTTTTAAGGTATGCTTCTGCTGTTTTTCGTTTCGTTTTTTTCATACCCCTCCCTCCTGGTCTCTTGTAAGGATGTGGTTCTTTCTTATTCAGATTCCAGAATTGGTAAAGAACTTTTTCCCATGTTTGGAGAAGGGCGGAAAGCACCCGGAGTTGGCTGTTCTAGGAATTTCAATGATCCAGATGGTTCAGCTGAAGACAGGCGACTTCCTAGAAGTTTTCCTGAAACATATTTTGCCTTCTCAAGGGGTAGTGAAGATCCGGCGCTCGGTACCTTTAGCTATTGGCCTTATTTGCCTGTCAGATCCAAAGGTAAGCGGTTTGCTAAGAACTTGAAAAAACATTGTTTTGGTCCAAACATTATCCTCATTATGTTTAACAATGATCATTTGGTTATGAATTTTACTTTGTAATGTTGTTACAGGATTATGCTATTGAAAAACTAACCTCGCTTAGTTATGATGCCGATGAAGTTGTTGCATCTGTAAGATACCAGTTCTCAGACAACATACGTTCAATTTGATATTTTTGTGATGTAATTAAAGTCCGCAATGCTTTCATGTGTCATGCAGGCTTCAATAATCTCCTTAGGCCTGGTAGGTGCCAGGAGCTGCAATGCTCGAATCGCCGACAGGCTCAATGAGCTTGCTCTGTATTACTACAAGAGCAGTGTGCCACTTTTTTGTGTAAGAGCCCGAATAATTTCTTGGTTTGTTATCTGTTTCGCGTGCTAGATCCCATATTTAAATGATCAACATTTCACTTGTGCAGGTGAGACTTGCCCAAGGTCTTTTACACCTTGGCAAGGGTTTGTTGACTCTTACTACTTATCCTTACCATGAGTTGTTTCTTTCACGGTAAGTCTCTTGCCGTGTTTAAGCTGAAAACATCAATTTGAATTGTTTCAACTAATTTTATATGGATTATACCGTGGATCTGTGCAGAGTGGGACTTGGAGGTATGGTAATCTTTCTGCATGCATGTCTTAACCTTCTTGTTACTTCGAGGAGGTACCATTTTGTCATCTACTTCCTCGTCTTAGCAATTCAGGTTTGTCCCTACTTTTTGGATTTTCTTCGATTATCTTTTTGCTGGTATCAGTAATTTAACATTGCTAGTGCTGCAATTTGTTTTCTGGCTTTGCTCTTGATGCAGCTAAGGGGGACGGAGTAAGAGGACTTGGAGTTGGAGCGGAAACGCTTGTTAATAATACTTATAGCATCTTTCATATGAGATCCCACTGCCTTTGTTTCTTTCCATATGCAGTTCTTTCTGTTGTGCTTCATGTGCATGTACTGTACCTCGTTTTAATATCTTTGGATGAACATGTTTAAATCTAGTTGTACCAGGCTACCAGTATTCCATCTTGACGGATTGATCCATCTCGTAAGTTCCAAGTATTGCAAAGAAAGCATGATTTTCGTTTCTATGCTCAATGTTTCTATTCTATTTTTATTTCATTTATAATCTTTTAGCTTCATTGATTCTGTTTAGCTATTCTTAAGTAAATTAGGCACTTGGACGGATACATATATTATATGAGATTGTCTTTTATGCTGTTTAGGTACTTGGGTAAATTAGGACATTAGACCATCTCCATCCCAACTTTTAGCAATTGTTAAATGTGTGGTGAAGTTTAAGTGGAAAAAACTTAATAATGGTTAGGGATGAAGTTCTTTCTAAACTAGAAAGATTACTAAATTAGGAATTCTTCTAGCAATACCATAGATAATTAATTATTTATTTTTTAATATTTTTTTGCTTATTAACTTTTCAATATCTAAGTGTTTGTGTTGATTTGAAATAGTATATGGGATCCATTTTAACAATTGCTAACACATTTTAGGGATGTTGATGAATAGAAATTGCTAGGTTAAGAATTGCTAGATTTAATGATGTGCTGGAAGGGACCACGTTTAGATATTGATAATCAACTTTAAGGATGGAGATAGTTAGGCGAATATATATTATACTAGGAATTGACCGCACTATACTGCGGGCCGTATTGATGCTTGGAGCCCATTTGGATTATTAATTTGCGAAAGAAAAAAAAGTGAATAGATTTTTTGTTTTATCATAATTAATGTAATAGATAATTCAAGAACCGTGACATAACCAAAATTACCAACTCATTTAGCTCGTTGTCCTAGTTGAGTAAGTGTGTTAAGGGTTAATGGTCCCACCGATTTAGTCTTATTTAGCCTAGATATATGAAAAAAGTCATTATATTGTTCATATATTTATAAATTATATTAAAACTCAGCTAACATATAACATTACATCAAAATAACATGACATACTTTAATCCAACATAATTCACGAGCCGTCAACAACAGCGAGCATCCCCAACCCTAGGAGCCGTCAACAACAGCGATGAGCGCCGCTGGCGGGGACTCGCCGCCCGCGCCTAACCTCCCCACAGCGACCCCGACGCATGACCTTGTGTCCTCTCCTGTCCAAACGGCCAAGCGGCCGAAAACTCGGGAGGAAGGGGGTTTCACAGGAGAAGGAACCATGATTGTAGAAACATCGACACAAATAATCGGGCAACAGTCAATGGTGAACGAGATGGGGAAACCGCCTGTCTCAGCTATTCCTAATGATGAACATGGAACAGACAAGAGTTGATCTCAGTCCTACAAAGACAAGGTTCTCGGCGTCTCGTTGGAAAGGGAGGATCCCACGGCTGGCGAGACGGAAATAGACATGATGGATAGTGACGGGGAAGGTGAGCTCGATTGCCCAAAAGTGAAGATCCCGCAAGGCTTCAACAAACGTCGCAGCCAGCGGTGGCGCCTTGCCCGAGTTGTTCGTATCCTGGGGCACTCCTTCCCATTTTTGTTCCTGCAGCGACGTCTACAAAATATGTGGGCATGCACTGGCCCGATCACGATCGCTGCAATGGGTCAAGGTTTCTACTCGGCCAGGTTCACCACTGAGCATGACTACGAGAGAGTCCTAACCGGAGGACCTTGGATGATTGAAGATCATTATGTCCTTACGAGAACATGGCGTCGAGGCTTCGAATCGGAGGAAGAGGAACTGACTCAGACTCTCGTATGGGCATGACTTCCCAAACTCCCTATGGACTATTACGATGAGAAGCTGCTCAAGAACACTGGTAACTCGATCGACAGATACGTAAAGATGGACGAAGCAACGCGGCTAGCAATCAGAGGTCACTTCGCAAGGATTTGTGTCGAGGTAAATCTTGCTAAGCCGCTGATATGCAAGTACAGGCTTGAGAGAAGAACTAGGAGGGTTGAATATGAAGGGCTCCATAAGGTGTGTTTCACATGCGGCCTCTATGGACACGAACAGGAGACATGCCCGAAGAAGACTGTGGAAATTCCAACAGAGGAGGACTTCCGAACAGTCCATATCCCAACCCAGAAGGTCATAATCGAATAGGAGCGGCCGGAAATCTTTCAAGAATTTGGGCCGTGGATGATAGCAACAAGCAACAGGAAGAGGCGTGGCGCCAAGACGAACCAACCCCAACAACCGCTAGCACAATTGAGCCCAGATAAAGTGTCTAACCGGGCAGGGTCAAGGTTCTCTGCCCTTGACGACTTGAATGACGAACTTCGCGAGGAGCCGAGGGTGCTAGAGGTTGCTAGAAAGAGAGTGGAAGAGGAATTGGATGGAGATGCGGACTTGGGCGGGGATGATAAGGAGGTCCAGGAGCAGCAAAGATTGGTAGCGGTTGGGAAGTTAGAGGACACTTGGCAAAACAAAAATTGGAGCAAGAAAAGTCTAGCAAGGGGGAAGCACGTACCCAGCCAATGAGTAGGATGGCACCAAAGGGCCAAAAAGGAGCGACCGCGACCCACAAAAATACATTGTATGTACCGAATCAGGGTGGCAGCGGGAGCTCCCAGAGCAAACCGATTGTACCCAAGACACCCGCGGATGGACCGAAACACGTTGAAGGCGTCAGCAAGCAATCACCCACCCCAAAGCAGAAAGGACACAAGCAAGGGGATGACGTGGAGAAGGGGGCTCCAACTAGCAAGGATGCCACCATCCCTAACTATGGGAAACCACTAGCTCGAAGCTTGGACCTTAATGCTGATGTGAATTTGCACAAGAGAGCACAGGCTTCGGGAGAAAAAGAAACCATGTCAACTCGTGGGGATAACACCAAGAGTGGGATGGACGTGTCCTCAACCTGAACTTCTCCCCAAGGGAAGGTTCGTGCGTTTGCGTTAGTGTCTTGTAGTTTGCTTTTATTTACCCTTCTCATGGTTAGTGTTTTTGCTTGGAATTGTCGCGGGGCAGCGGACCCCAATTTTCTTACTCATTTTCGGGAGTTTAATAGAATTCATCGACCTGACGTTGTTTTCATTTTCGAACCCAGGATCAGCGGTACTGTTGCAGACAAGGTAGTGCAGGGTATGGGGTTTGGCAAGGACAGTAGGATGGAGGCCCGTGGATTTGCGGGAGGTATTTGGGCACTCTGGAACTCGAGTAATATCATGATCAGCGTGGAGTAGTCCACTGACCAGCTGGTACTTCTACGTTTCAAGATCAGTAATGGCGAAGAAGGGCTGATAGCAGGCGTCTACGGGTCGCCTCAACTAAGTACCCGTCGTGACTTATGGGAGACAATTCGAAGAGTGGTAGGGAGCACCACGGAACCAATGATGATGATAGGTGATTTTGATGCTCTCCTAAGCCAAAATGATAAGCAAGGTGGCGTTGGCTTCAACTTTGCTGCCAGCCAAGAGTTTCGGGCAACAATGGAGGATTGCGGCCTCGTTGACATCTCTTTCACGGGTCCTCGTTTCACTTGGAGTGGGCCGAGAGGTCTCAAGGAGCGGCTTGATAGAGCAGTATGTAATACCGAGTGGCTACAACGATTCCTTGATACGAGTACGACTCACCTGCCGAAAGTCAAGTCGGATCACCGGCCAATCTTCACCATGACGGAGAGACCGAGGTCACGAGTTAAGTTGTAGAAACCGTTCCGCTTCCTCGCCCCATGGATATCACATCCTGATTTCGACCGGGTACTGCATGAAGGCTGGGACAAGGGTGGTAATTATGGTGCTAGAATTGAGTGTCTAACGAAGGAGCTGGGTGAATGGAATAAAAAGGTTTTTGGTAATATTTTTTCCAGCAAACGCAAAATCCTCAGGCGCTTACAGGAGTTAGAAATCATAAATGAGAACCACCCGTCCCAAGAGAGCATGGAGGAGGAGGCCACCACAAGACAGAACCTCCAAACAGTACTCAAACAGGAAGAGGTCCTCTGGTTCCAAAAGTCCCGGGCACAATGGTTTAACCTCGGAGACAGCAACAACAGGTATTTCCATCTGTCAACCCTAAGGCGACGTTGTTTCAACATGATCCGAAAGCTCAAAAATAGTGAGGGTGATTGGGTGGAGGATATCGGCGAACTACAGAGGTTGGTCAGGGATTTCTTTGAGAGTCTCTTCACGGAAGACCCAGCCACGCACGACCTGCTGCTTGCAAACTTCCCGCAGTTGGAAGCCTCGGTGACAGCGCTGGAGATGGATATTAATGCTATGGAAGTGCTTGCTGCAATCAAGTCGATGGGGCCGCATAAAGCGCCAGGAAAAGATGGGTATCACCCCTTGTTCTTTCATAAATGCTGGGGTACGGTGGGTCCGACTCTCTCGGAATTCCTAGTGCAGTGCTTCCGCAACCCGGGTATGGTTTCAGCGGTGAATGAGACTCTTATCACGCTCATTCCTAAGAAACAAAACCCATCGTCGGTGGGAGAATTCAGACCCATTAGTCTTTGCAATGTGTCCTACAAAGCATTTACCAAGTGCTTGGCGAACAGGCTCAAGCCTACGCAGACTAGTTTCGTTCCAGGGCGCAACATCCAGAGCAACATCATCATTCTGCAAGAGGTGGTACACACGATGCAAACCCGGAAAGGAAAACGCGGTCATATGGTTCTCAAGATTGACTTAGCTAAAGCATACGACCGTCTGGACTGGAGCTTCGTAGCGAGCACTCTTGTGGCAGCGGGGCTACCGGACAAATTCAACCAGGCGGTAATGGATTGCATTGCATTTCCCTCTTTCGAGGTGTTGTGGGATGGTGCTTATACAGAACCTTTTCGCCCGACGAGAGGATTACGCCAAGGATGCCCCCTTTCCCCATATATTTTCACCCTGTGCATTGAGAGGCTATCTCATATGATTCTCGAGTTGGTTGCAGGAAAGAAGTGGAAGCCGCTACAACTCGTTAAAGGAGGAGTGGAGCTCACCCATCTTTTTTTTTTTTGCAGATGATCTAGTCTTATTCGCAGAAGCTAATGTGGAGCAGGCGGAAATTGTGATGAATTGCCTGAATTCTTACTGTGCAGGATCGAGAGAGCTGGTAGCAAGGACAAATCCCAGGTTTTCTTTTCCAAGCACCTGGATCGTAGGCTCTGCAAGGAGATAAGTGATGTACTTGCTATACCAATGACGCAAGACCTGGGGAGATACTTGAGATCAGAAGAAAAACGAGATGCTCCCAGCTGTGGCGCGGGATCCGTCAGGTCTGGGGTCTGATGCTTGAGGGAGTAGCTGGAGCGTTCGAGATGGAAAAACGACGTTGTTTTGGCAGGATCGATGGCTAGACAGCAGCGTGGCGCTGGCGGATTATGCTTGGAGTACTAAACCGAGCTTCCTGGGAGAGGCAACAGTTGCCGACATGACAACCTCAGAAGGTGAGTGGAATTTGGCTCTCATTGAACAATTCTTACCCCACGATCTTCTCTTGCAAGTTGTTGGCACACCACCGCCGAAAGCTAGCCTGGGAGATGACGCCATTGTTTGGGGACTGGAGGAGAAGGGGAATTTTACCCTTCGCTCAACATACTAGCTCGTTGCGGAGGTGGACGGGGCGGACGAACAACAAGAATGGCGCGACTTGTGGAGTTGGCCAGGACACAACAGGGTGCGTCATTTTCTCTGGTTAACGGCGCATGGAGCTCTCCTCACCAATTCCGAGCGGCAACGACGACATCTCACAACTACTACCACCTGTCCTCGTTGCAAGATGGGCAGGGAGACCATGGAGCATACAGTGCGTACGTGTACTTACGCGCAACAAGTCTGGATGCAGGCCCTCCCGGTGGCAGCGGACCCTACAGTCCATAGAGATATGAAGACCTGGTTCATGCACTTCATTCGGAATCCCACGCAGCAGGTAAGATTCGGCATAACCTGCTGGTTCTTATGCCGCTCGAGAAATGATTATGTCTTTTCAGCCATTGAGGAATCCCCTAGTAAGTTAACGCAAAGGATCCTCGCCTGGGAGGTCACCGCGCAGAGGAGTAAAGTAGCGGAACACACTATTTCACTAGGGAGGTTGGGGTTGAGTCGAGACATGGATGTTGGGTGGAGACCAGCCCCGACAGGATGGATCACAGTGAACTCTGATGGGTCTCTCCTGAGAGCGTCAGGGTCAACCGCTGCAGGAGGCACACTTAGAGACGGGCAGGGTCGCTTATTTGGGGCATTCTCAATGAATCTGGGAAGATGTACCATTACTCGGGCAGAACTTTGGGGCGCCCTTCGAGGGCTGCAGATGGCATTGGATACAGGTCATCGTAAAGTCGAGCTTCAACTGGACTCCACCACGGCGGTCAGCCTGCTGTCGCCGAATGCTTCCACAACCCACCAGCACGCGAGCATCGTTCTTGAGTTCCAGGAGCTCCTTCGTAGAGATTGGGAGGTTGTGGTTCGACACATATATAGGGAGGCTAACTTTTTAGCCGACTGTCTTGCTCATCAGGGTCACCTGTTAGACCCGGGTTCCATATCCTTTAATGTGAGTAGTCCAGACATTGATCGCTGGCTTTTGTATGACTCTGTTGGAGGATTTGTTGTCCGCAAGGTTAAGTAATCTGAGGTAGTGGTGCTTCCCTTTTCACAAAAAAAACAATATTCAAATGTTCAAATTAGAAGTTCAAAGATAGGGTTAGGCGAAGAGAAAAACTCCAAAAAAAAATGGGTATTTCACAACTCAAAAGGGAATTGACTAGATTAAATATGCTGATTGGATTAACGTCTGTGGTGACGTGACTGACTCCTCGTCAACAAATTTCCTGATGGAAATGTTTAATTCCCCTTTCATTATAATTAACTGAAAAATAAAAACAAATATAGAGAATGACGGGACAAGACTCATCGTCCCCTCTCTTCAAAAAACTTCACACCCTTCCCCAACCAATCTTACCCGCCAGCCGATCTCTTCCACCTCGCTGACCAACCCTATATGGCTCCATCGTTTGCAATTTCCAGATCTTACACATCCACTGCCTCTTCTTCTCTTCGTCTAATGCATCGCCGAACCCCTTCATCGACAACCCAGATTGTTGATTCCAAATCCCAATCCATAACCAAGACTCAGAGGAGAACATGGGCGGAACTCTGATTTCATATCTCCACGGTAGACGTCGCGGTTGTGGCAGAATCAATGGCAGAGATCACTTGTTGGAAGTACACACTGGCGACGTCATCTCTCAACTAGCCTCTCTCAATCTTGGAGAAAATCTTGCTGCCTCGGAAGAGCTCGATGCAGATTTTTATCTTTGACTTGCTCGCCATCACTTCGTGGAGTTCGGCGATGTTGGAAAAAATCCAAAACTACCATTGTTTTAAAAAAAAATTAAAAAAATACCACCCATTCCCAAGAATTTCAAAAAATACCACCGTTTATTAAAAACCGCTCCACTAAGGGTCGGTTAATATAGAAACCGCACAACCAGACCGCGGTTTACCATAGAACCGCCTGGTCAACAAGCGGTTTGCCTATTTTGGCAAAAACGCTCTTCCAAAGAGTGGTTTTCATTGCTGCCCTACGAAAAAACGCTTCCTCAGGGAGCGGTTACATGTCGGCATGATAAAACGCTCCACAGAGAAGCGGTTTACCATGTCGACACCAGCGGTTTGTGCATGGTCACCCGGCATCCGACATGTCGGCATGCAGGAGGTTGCAGGGGTGAGGGCTGCATGCCAGACTAAAACCGCTCCCTCCCTGCGGGTTGTAGTGTAAATTTGCCTATAAAAGGCTAGTCCAAAAAACTCAAAATCTTCACTTCACTCCTCCTTCTTCTTCAAATTTTAGTTGTGCAACTTTAAATTATTTAGTTTTTGTGATTAACGTTAATTCGTAAGTTTGTTTTGTATTACTTTTCATTGTCCTTTGTGATTTTTATGTTAGTAACTTAATTACAATTTTATTGCAGATGGCATTCCAAAGGTTCACGCTTGGGTTGCGGTGGAATGGTTATACGGAAGAGACCGAAAATGGTGTAAGTTACGTGGGTGGCAATTTTTATAAAATGAAGGTCTGTACGAGACCGGTGCTTGAAGAGCTTCATCAAATGTGCACTCAGATTACCTGCATGGATGGCACCTTAGAAACACAGTCTGTTTGACAGAAAAGGGGGGATCCGAGGATCGCTTATAACCCGATTTTCCCAGATAATGGGAGGATCATGATGATCGCTTAAGACCCCATTTCCTTAGACATGCATTTCTTTATAAAGAGTCTAAATAAGTGTTGTATTGTATTGATTTAAATTATTGAAAATAATCAATACGATTAACAATTAAGTAACTTATTGTACAAACAAATAAATTACGTTAACAAAATAAATATTACAAGTGATGATAAATAATATGTACCTTGTGGTTGTTCCAAACGTCTCTTGAACGATGATTGTATTGATCGTATAAAATAGTCGGATCAATCGTTCCTTGATCAACATAATATCGTTGATTGTATATATCAACATCCGGCCCAACCTACGATAGCATAACACAACATAAATCAATTAGTATATAAATTAAATAAACCATTATAACAACAACAAAAATTGGGTAAAATGAGTACGTACCGCTTGATAATCATCATAGTAAATACCCTCTTCTTGGATAAAATCAGCCATTTATCAGAATCTGGACAGAGATTCGACGGTTTTTTAGTGAAAACCAAAGAAAAAGTTTTTTGAAGGCAGATCGACTTAGCCGCAACCAACAAAACAACTACTTCCAAGGTTTTTGGGTGGGGGAGGGGGATGAGTAGAGTGAGGAACTTAGAGAGAGAGAGAGAGGAGAATGGGGGTTTGGTGTGCAGAAAATGGGAGGAAGGGGTGGGTTTATATCATGGTAAAGGAAACCGTACCGGAAGTCATACCGGCCCCGTCGGTGGTAGGGTATTTTGTGGTACGACCGTGGTTCAATCGTTCTGTACCGGTAAAATACCGGTTCTGTATTTAAAAAATATTTTTTTGTTAAAAAACCGTACCGGCAGATTCAGGATACCGTTTCGGAGTAATACCGGAATAAAATCGGAATATACCGGATAACAAACCTGAATAAACTAAATAAGGATAGATAATATAATAATCAACAAACTGCAAAATTACTGAATAAACTACATAATCGTTCAAATGCATGTTTAGGATCGAGTACAAAACAACCAAACAACATTCTCAAACATCAAGTTTAAACAACATGATCTCAAACCAAACAGCATTCTCAAAGTACATAATCGATCAAAGTACAAAACAACCAAACAACATTCTCAAATTATTCTCAAACTGCATTTGGTTTCACTTATGCGGCAGCAAGACTGCATTTGATGGGACAAACTTAGCTAACCTGTTTATGGAGCGGGAGCGAGAGCGGGAGCGTAAGAGCGTCTATTGTATAAGAATTGAATTTTAAGAGAGTGAATAGAGCATCAAAATAAATTATTGTTATACTTATAATATATTATTAATAAATGATTTAAAATGTAGTTAGTACCAAAATACTAGACAACAAATTTATTTTCATTTATACAGACAATGACGATACAAATATGATTAATTTTTAATTTTTAATTTCTAGTTATACGACTGATAAATATTTAAAGTTATTTTATTTGGAAATTTAATTATATTAACTTTTCTTTTTATTTTCCTTTTAATTTTCCTTATCTCTTGGCCCATTCACCCACCGCTCGCACACCACAAAACTTCTTCACTTTCTTCCTTTACTTTCTCCCTCTACCTCTTCCGCGATACATACCTCTGTTTATTCTCAACTTTTCTGGCGATCAATTTCGCCATGCAACAGCCACAGATCAACCTTTTCTTGTCTTCTTGAGAAGCAGGGGAGGGAGACTCGAACAGGCGGTGGGGTTGAGGAGGAGAGAAGAGGAGCGGCGGGGCAGATCTGGGATCAGGGCCAATTGCCAGGGAGCCGAGCAGGGAGCCCACGATCTCCTCAAAGGCAATCGCCAGGGAGCGGCGGTCGCGGTTTCCTCTTTGCTTTCTCCGGTCGCCACTCGCAGTCGCCAAAGGAGAAGAGAAGGAGCGGCAGGCAGAGATGGGATGGGGAAAGGAAACGATGAAAGCAAAGCCCTCCCAGATGGCCAGATTAAGGGGTTTTTTTTTTCTTTTTGGCCTTTGGCAATTTTCAGTATTAGAACGGGGACGTTTTCCCTCCAATGAGCCTACGCCGGTTAGACCAAACCCGGGCGGTTTTTTCGTTTGTACCGATTAAGCCGGAAAAACCGGCCGGTACGATATTTTGAAGCAAACCAGCCTACCGTATCGTTTTTGGTCCGGTTTCCGGTTTTTCCGGTCGGTACGATCCGGTTTCCTGGTCCATGGTTTATATAAGGATGAAATCGCATGCTGGAGGGGCAGTTTGGTCTTTTTACCCCACGCAAAATTGCGCCTCCAACACACGGTTTACGTTTCCCAACGCGCAAACCGCGCCTCAGGGCAACGGTTTCCCGTGGGCGACGCGGATCGCTCCGCTGGCAGGCGGTTAGGCCGTCAGATCGCCTGCCCATCGTGCGGTTGCAGGGGCCGCCACGTGAAGGCACATTTTATCAGCTGCCCAATGGCAAACCGCCCCTTAATTGCTCGCGTGCTTTGACTGAGAATCGCGCCTTCGAGGTAGTTTTCGATTTTTTGGTAGTTTTTGATTTTTTCCGGAGATGTTCGGGTGCTTCACCATCTTTATCGTCATGCTTTTCTCGGAATGGAGGTTCTGCGATTGGGTTTCCCAGGAAAACGGAAAAGAAAGAGATTGAGGATTGGGGGAAGGAAGAATGGAAGTAAAATTCCTCTTTGGGAATTAGGGTTTTTATGGCTGAGGGGATTCTTTTCGTTGACGGCAGTGATGGTTGGGAGATCTGTCAAATTTTCATTTCCAATATGTCCCTTTCTTTCTAATTTCTATCAAAACCGCACCTGCATCTCAATCTTGCCTCAAAATTGGGCTTGTGAGGAGACGACTCAGATGTTACGTCTGAGAGGTGGGATTGAGCGGCGATTGAGCTCTCTTCGCTGCTAAATTGGAGAGGAAGATGTGACCATTCCTCCCTTATTCTCGAGATGATTGATTTGGATATTGAGCTAGAAAACAGAATCGTCGAGGTTGATTTGGATCCATTGTCGCTCTGATGATTTGGTGAGGTTTCGTGGTTGGAATCAGATTTGTGGGAGATGGGTTCGTGTGGGTTTTGTAGTTTTGGTATGGAGAGGGGAGAAAGAGGGAGAATTGCTCGGTTGGGGGATTGACAGATTCTAGAGTTTGGGAACCGCCATTGAAGGGGCAGAGTTCTAAGCTCTAGTTTTTCGTTGGAATCAGATTTTGCCTTAAATTTTTCTGATGTGGCAGTGAACTCTGATAGTTGACCGTTAAATAAGTGGTGTGGTAATTAAAAAAATAACACAATAATAAAATTTAATCTTTTACAAATTTCACCTGAAATAAAAAATAATTATAATAAATAAAAAATAATTATAATTATCATCCAGAAGTGGATATGGTGCTAACACACTTAAGTGCTAGCACCATACTAACACATTCATTAAGGGTATTATAGTATTTTCCATTCTCCTTCCCCTTCTCTTCTCCTCCCCTTCCATTTACGTAGCTTTTTTAGGTTCCATTTACAAATTACATTTTTGGTACCTGAACTTAATAGGTAGTAATATTTAGTACCTAAAATTATTTTTTTACATTCGAGTGCTAAAAATATGGATGAAAAATTACATTTTAGTACCTGAATTTTTGTGTGGTTGTGGCATGCTTTGAGGTTGTGACATTCTTTGTGATTCTGGTATGCTTTGGAGTCGTGGCATGCTTTGAGCAGGTTGTAGCATGCTTAGAGAAGGTTGTGGCATGGTTTGTGGTCCCTTTCCCCAATTTTTCATAATACAAAGTATGCCCCTCCTGCTCCTCCCCCCTCATTAATTGTGGTCAACTCATTTAAATGGAAAAGTCAATCCAAACGAAATGTCCTGATTGGCTGGAGCTAGTGTTAGCATCATACTAACAAAAAAAGTGTTATCACCCTAGCCCCTCCCCTTATCTTCCTCCGCTCCTTTCCTTATCTCCGCTGCCAGCTTGTCTTCTCTCATTCTCTTCCTTCGTCTACCTCGTTGCTTCACCCTGTTGTTCTTGGTGTTTAGGAGATGTTAGTAGCTGGATTGGACCCAGATCGAAGTTCTTGAAGACATATTTCCACCCTCTTATATGTTTTTGTCAATGACCACACTTCTCATATGATGTTTATCTTGGTTCGATGACAAAGGTGCAGATGACTTTTGGTCTAGCGACCAGCCGATGGCCTCGTTCGATGACAAAAGTCCAGGGTGGGTTGGCTCTCTCCTTTACAGATAAAAATTAGGGTAAATACAATATATTAGCCACAACTACTAAGGAACGGGAAATTATAACCATAACTATCCAAATACAAATTATTAGCAAAAACTATTGTTGCGAATCATGAAATGGCTAACTGTCTGTTACTCCGTTAAATTTTATAACATAGACTGCCACATCAGCATTCCACGTCATAAAATATTAAACAAAAATATTAAAAAAATAATTATTATTAAAAAAATAGAAAAATGAGAAACCCATTTTTTTCCCAATCCCCTCCGCTGGAAAGAATTTCCCCCTATTATTTTCCAATCCGCCGCCGCTGGAACGAACCTCTTCGAAGCCACCGACGCCGCCTTCTCCATCACTTTCCCCATACTCCTCACCTCTCTGTCATCCTTTCCAGTTCCCCCTTCACCATCCCATCCATCTCCTCCTCGAACCTCCGTAACTCCGTGATCGCCGCCTTCATCGTCGATTCCAGCACAGTCCTCGCCTTGTAGGCCTCCAATTCGAATAGCTTCATCAGATCAGAGTCGATTTTGGGTGGATCGAAGTGCTTGTCTCGCAGGAGTTCGTCCGCCAGTAGGCAGAAGATTGAAGATTCTGGACGGATCTGGGAGCTTCGAAGGGAAGCACGAAGAGCTAGAACAACTACTCCGCCTCCATCGCATAATCCAATTTCCAGGTGTGGCCGAATCCGTCAACGCTGACGAAGATGATCACCAGAGCTTGCAAAGGTCATTTCGAGGACTATTCGTTTGGCACAGCACAGAGCAGCCCGCAGAACTACTATTCCTCTACGCCGAAACCCGACTCGTCGGTGGGCCTGCGGCCGTTCGCGTTCCCCCGACCCGACTACTCGGAAAAGGGTGGAGAGATGCTCGCCCCCGTTTGTTGTTCCGGAGGGACCTCGTTCAGCTTCCGAATCGTGTGCAAGAGTTTCTAGAGCTTGAACGGCGACGACCTGCGGGGCGAATTGACATGTGGATGATGATCGGAATCGGGGGATAATCGGGGTATTTTTTTCATATACTGGTAAGCTTTTAATTTTTATGTTATTATTTACTTAATCAATTCCACCTGGATGCCATGTTCTCAATTCCACCTCAGTTTATTTTGCCAGGTCAGTATTGCAGAAAGACCAACTAACGGGGTATTAATGGAAAATTAACGATTGGATATTAATTTGTATATTGATAGTTGAGTATGTAAATCCCCGTTCCATAGTAGTTATTGATATTATATTGTATTTGCCCTAAAAATTACAAAGAGTATTAAGAAAGAGCCGCTGGCCAACCAATCGACGATTCAACGGTAAGAGGGGTTTTTCGCCACGAGATGAACATCCCTAATATACTTACGCGGCACGAAGTGAAACGATGCACGCTATATAGAGGCACGAAAAATCTGAACCGCAGAGAGAAGGCTTCCATCCAAAGCGTGAGCCGAATTCTTTTGATTATTCATTTGGATGATTACTTTCATATCACCACAAATATGGGCACAAAATAAAACATTAGTTATTGAATTATAAGTACACCATCAAAGAGCATTCTGAAGGCTAGCTGCTAGATGAATGCATCATCCATAAATTCATAAAACCTCCATAATGCAAAGTGAAAAACAATCAAAAGAGCCGGTCGGGTTTTCTATATAGGATATGTACCACCTACACATAGACAATATATTAGAGAAGGAAAGAGATTAATACAACTAGAGAGTGCTAATCGCCAAGAGGGTGAAGACATCAACAATGAACACTGATATAGAATAGTTGCACGACGGCGATCTGAAACAATTGTATTTTCCGTACAATAAATTTTATTATAATTTCTCAATTCATTATTCTTTCTCCGATTGCTTGACTAGCAAGCTAAGAGTTATAAAATTTTATTATTATAAATTAGCCTATGGTAAAATAAATAGATTTATTTAAACATAATATGAAACGTTATAGGGATAATAAAGGATTGTTACGTGTCACCAGGAAAAGTCATTAAAGAGGAATACAAAGCGACTCCTCTTCCTCGTCCTCATATTTTTTTTTTAGCAACATTGGACGACAGGCGTCCTAAATCATTTCATTAATAAGCCGGGGAATTGAGATTCCCAAAACATCACCCAAAAGCAAATGTTCAAGTTGAGGGTGGCACACATTTAAATGATGTGAGCCAAAAGACAAGTCATGACTCTTAGCTGCCAAGAAATCGGTTGTACGATTACCCTTTCTGAAAATATGGTTAAGATGAACATCCCATTCTCGCTCCAACAAAAACCCAATCTGTTTGGCAATCAGACCATGGTGGTGATCGTCCTCCTTCTAGTTCTTGATAATGTACATCGTTGTGGTGGAGTCCAGATTCACCTCAACCTTCATATATCCCAGGTTCCAGGCCATCTCGATTCCAATTGCAGCACCCTTCAGCTCAGCTCACGTAATGGAGCACTTCCCTAGGTTACACGTAAAGGCTCCCAAGCATCTTCCAAGGTTATCTCTGAGGAGAACCCCTGCTGGTGCATTTCCTGAGTGGCCAATAACCGAGCCATCAGTGTAACATCCCGAACCTTTTTCTCGACGAAGATATTGTTGGCTTTGGGTTGAGACCCTCACGGTTTTCAACTTGGGTTACAATTCAAGGTGATTTCCCATAAGCTCACCCATCCTTGTTGTTATCCACACTAAGCACGTTTAACTTCAGAGTTCTCATAAGAACTCCTCCACCCCAATACGCGTCTTGTCAGCTAAGGTCGGTTTCTTACTTGTGAACCATGGATCTCTCATGTGCTTTGTTGATGTGGGATTTGCCTAAGGTGTTACATACAACCCCCTTGGGACTCAACACCCTTGTTGAGGTTTGCCCCACTATCGTTCAAGAGGGACGCGGAGAGGCTGTGATACCACTTGTAACATCTCGAACCTTTTCCCGATGAAGATATTGTTCGCTTTGGGCCGAGACCCTCATGGTTTTCGACTTGGGGTGCAATTCAAGGTGACTTCCCATGAGGTCACCCATCATTGTTGTACTCTGCACTGAGCACGTTTAACTTCACAGTTCTCATAAGAACTCGTCCATTTCACCCCAAATCGCATCTTGTGAGTTAAGGTTTTTTTCTTACTTGTGAACCATGAATCTCTCCCGTGCTTTGTCGATGTGGGATTTGCCTAGGGTTTTACAATCAGTTTGGAGTTGAACACTACCTTCAGTCAGTGATTTACATCATATCTCTCTACTCGTACTTGTGGCAGGTATGGAGGCAAAACACAGTCTCTCGTTCTGTTGTGCTTGCTAGAAGATCCTGATCCATACCGAGATCTTGCATATCAAACCAGTTTCATTGAAACATTTTCCGTCCATAACTTTCTCGTTGCGTTGTTTCCAAATCATCCAATAGATAATCCCAAACTCAGTGCCCTTGTCTTCAATCTTGATGTTCTCTGCTATCCATCTGGAATACTCAAGGCTTTCCACATTCGTGCTAACTTGCCCTGTGAAATGTCACCATACCCTTATAATCTTCTTGCACTTTCTTAGAATGTGTTCCACAGTTTCTTCTTCGTCAATGCAATGGTTGCAGTTCCGGTTGTTGGTGAGATCCCTCTTCTTTCTTTCATCATTTGTGAGCAGTCGATTGTGTGAAACCAGCCACAAGAAGAGCTTGACTTTGTTTGATCCTTTCCATTTCCAAAGCTCCTTCCAGCTCCCATTTGGCTCTTCCTCCAGTTCTTCTTCCACCAGGTTAAAAGCTGATCGAAGCTTGATTCTTCCATCCCCATATTGTCTTTCTCTGGTCCCCATATTGTCTTGTCTTGCCCCGGTCCTGGTTTAGGAGAATCCTTGCCTACAATACGACATATAATCTCATCAGGCAAATACTCTCTAATCATCTCCTAGTTCCACTCACCATTCTCAGTTGTCCAGTCGACAATAGTCTCCTCAGGGTTCTCATTGGTAAGATCCTTTATGGCAAAATCAATGAGGATGGTATCATTATCCAGCCATGGATGGGTCTAAAAGCCAGTTTTCGTTCCATCTCTAAAGCTACAGACCACAACCTTCCTAATATATGACATATTATAGCTATCCATAGGCTGGAGTGGCTACTTGTCTTGGCTGCTTTGATCCAATTCCTTGTGATGGAAATATTTTCCTTGAAGAACCTGCACTCACAAGTGCTGATCATTGTTAAGTAAATGGCAAGCAAGTTTCACCATATAAGCAAGATTCATACTCCTGGCTGATCTAAGGCCTAACCCTCCTTGACTTTTAGGCTTACAAACAGTCTCCCAAGCAATTAAATGAGCTTTCCTTCTACCTTCCTGTGAAGCCCACACAACCCCTCTAATCTTTCTATCAATGGTTTCACAAACTGAGATAGGCAGCATGGCACAATTTTTAGTCATTTCTCGATGAGAATACAGAAAGTCACCTCAATACTTATTGTTGATATTATGTAGAAAAAAAAAACACACTGGAAATTAAATATGTAACATCCCGTTCAAGCAAAACCCATATTTCGATAGCTAGAAAGTTCGCGATTTAAAATCGAGCATTTTGATAGTATCTCAGCGAAAATCGGATTATCGATCGATCGGATAAGTATACGTATTAATTATATATATATATATTAAGCGTCCCGGCCGCATATATATAACATTTCCCCTCCACCCCGTCCATTATTCCATCATCCTCTTTCTTTCTGTTACAATATTTTGGCCCGAGAGAAACCGAGAAGCAGGGCGCGCAAGAGAGGAACAGAAAAATTCTCCAAGCTCAATTCTTGAGCTCTAGTGATCCAAAAATCCCATAAGTAATGCCTAATTCATCTATACATCGTGATTTATCGATTTAGAGCTTTAAAACGAGTTTTGGATCAGGAATTTCTTGAATTCCCGATAAGCCAAATTAGGGTTTCGGAGTATCCGGAAGCCGGATTGAGCCCAAATTTCATATACGAGCTTCCTGCAGCGAGGTAATCAATCCTATAGTTCTAATCCCTGAATTTAGACAATTATTTAGGCCGGGGTCCAAACCGCTGAATTTAGCTCCGGCCAGGGTTTGATGTGTTTTTATCAAGAATTTGACCCAGAGCCTAGAACTAATATTGACGGGGATACTGCAGGGGATATTAGGAAGGTCTCGGATTTTAATTCGGGGTTCGTTCGTGAAATTGACGTTTTAGTACGGGAGGCTAGAACCGGTGTTTGAACGACCAGAGACGGTGAGGGATTAGCACGGCATACCGGGTTTGTCGTATCACGATATTTATATTGATGCTTAGAATTGACTTAGGTGAACTAGAATGGCATGATTAAGGGTGTATGAACTTTTGTGCTATATGATGAATCATGGACTACTGTATGATATTATTGACTTGCCCTAATCGAGATGGACCTTGTTTATGCTGATGATTTCGTATATGTTGCAAATTGTGGGCTTGACTGTTGATATGCCTCATGATGGTTCGAAAAGGTGATTGGCTATGATTTTTCATGATTGTTGTATTTGGATGCACATGTGGGAAAATATATATTCCATGGTGATATTATGATGTTTAAGGAGGATGACTTGCACGAGGGTTTATCCCGAGGAAGTGCAATTATACGACTCCTGATTTACCTATGTTGAGCCAATTATGGCCAGGTCAAGTACATGTGCAAGTAATGAATTATGATTAAGCAAGATGAGATATGAATCATGTATAGGGATACCAAATATGAGTGTTGTGGTCTCACGGTCAACTACATAGTAATTAGGGCTCCCTATGCGATTACTCTATTATGATATGTATGATAGTCACACCTCTCATGTGGTGGTGACTGAAGAATTCTTATGAGATATGACCACACCCATAGTGGGTTGGGGTATGTATGACCACATCCGACGGGATGTTGGGGTATGTATGACTACATCCGACGGGATGTGGGGTATGTTTCCCGAGAGAGTTATTAGTATGGGAGTAGCCAGGCGCCTATGAGTAAAACATGATAAGATGCATAAGTCAAGGTGGTTGAGTCTTTTGCCTATTGGGGTGTTGGAGGGCTGAGATCTGATCCCAGTGCTTTGGCTTGTTTGCTAGGTGTATGGTAGGGGTATGCTCTGTTATGAACTCACGATGCTATGATTATCTCACTCAGCTATGAGCTGACCCTCTTTATCCTTTTTCTCTGCTTATGCTATGTGTAAGCAGATCATCATCAGCAGCAGTAGATAGGTGTATAGGTGGGAGCTGAGCAAGAGTTGAAGGCAAGATGAGGTATGGTCTTCAACTATTTTGTGCTTGGACTACTAGTCGGGATTTTGGCCAGTGATCCACACATTTTTGTAAAAATGTTTTGAGAACGTTTTTCATGTGCATACTAGCTTGTGATGTAGTGTGAGATATCCACAGGTGTGGAGAGTTGATGATATGTGTATATGTTGTGTAACTGTGTAAGTTGTGACGATTATGGTATGTATAAGTATGGTGTGCAGTTGTGGAGTATGAAAATGTAACTATGGCTAGAAAAGCCAATGTATATGGTTTTAAGTATATATGTTTGTGATGAATTATTTTGCAGGTTTTAGTTGCAAGAACTGTTAGCCTATTATGCGAGTAATTCATGTCGAAATTTTATTTGGGTAAATTTTGATAATTAATGTAACACCTGAGATTAATTCCGCTGCAATTGTATGAACAATATGATTAGGCAAAACGTATAGGGTAGGGTGTTACAAAGTCCTACTAAAAAAATCACATTGATGCATGTATTAATGATAGAGAATATGTATGGTGATTTACCGGTGTATATCAATGGTCAAAATAGGATGACAAAATACACATGGACAACCATTACTATCGATTTTTTTTACAATAATAGCCAACTTATAAAAATAGACTAAAATAGTCATTCCGTCAATAAATTTAACGAAATCATTATAAATGCTGACTGGACTAACGAACTTTGCTCACATGACATTTTTTTATGGAATAATATCCTAATTTAGCCCGAAGTTTAGGGTGAGTGATAGTTATGGCCTCATTTTTGAAATAAGACATTTACGACCTACTTTTGAAATTATTAGACAGATTTGTCCTCAAACTAGTGTTGACCATTAATATTAACGGTCAAACACATATTCCCTTAGCGACTCAACAAAAAACTGTTGATGTGGTTATACATGGTGCCACGTCATTAAGTAATATTCTTGTATTTTTGTAATTTAATTAAAATTAAAATTTAACAAATCGACAAATTAAATGATGGATCTCTTCTCCACTTCCTCCTCTCTGTTTAGCATCTCCACTTCCCCTCCTTCTCTATCCGCCGACGCTTTCTCCACCTGTCGTCGTCGACAACAAAGCGACACCATTCTCATCAGTCGCCGTTGATGTACCGCCCTTCGGGAACCCCGCCTCTTTCGAAGAAATTTCTATCTCCATGGAAGCTTCCGGCGCAAATGTTGTCGCCGAACAAACCCTCAACGTAAAAATTTGCCCCTTGCTGGCTGCAATCGGCACTGCCGTCGGGGTCGATGTGGACACCCCCAGCAGCCGCAAACTCCTATCACAAACATCCAAGCTACAATTGTAACATCCCATTTGGGCTAAACTCGTATTACGATCGCTAGAAAATTTCACGATTTAAAATCGAGCGTTTTGATAGTATTTCGACCAAAATCGGATTATCAATCGATCGGATAAGTATACGTAATAATTTTATATATATATACATAATTGCATCAGGAGGCAAGTTATATATATATAAACTCCCCAGCCATCTTTTATTTCCCATCGTCGTCATCTTTCCATTTTCTGGACCGAGAGCAGAGGCCGTTCAGGGGACGCGAGGAAGAAAATTCCAAAGCTCAATTCTTGAGCTACAGTGATCCAAAAATCTCGTAAGTAATGCCTAATTCATCTATACATTGTGATTTATCGATTTAAAGCTTTAAAACGAGTTTTTGGTTCAGGAATTTCTTGAATTCCCGATAAGCCAAATTAGGGTTTCGGGGTATCCGGAAGCCAGATTGAGCCCAAATTTCATATACGAGTTTCTTTCAGTGAGGTAATCAATCCTCTAGTTCTAATCCCTGAATTTTGGCAATTATTTAGGTCGGGGTCCAAATCACTGAATTTAGCCCCGGCCAAGGTTTGATGTGTTTTTATCGAGAATTTGATCCGGAGCCCAGAACTAATATTGACGGGGATACTGCAGGGGATATTAGGAAGGTCTCGGATTTTAATTCGGGGTTCGTTCGTGAAATTGACGTTTTAGTACGGGAGGCTAGAACTGGTGTTTGAACGACCAGAACTGGTGAGGGATTAGCACGGCATACCGGGTTTGTCGTATCACGATAATTATATTGATACTTAGAATGGACCTAGGCGAATTAGAATGGCATGATTAGGGGTGTATGGACTTTTATGCTATATGATGAACCATGGATTGTTGTATAATATTATTGACTTGCCCTATCCGATATGGACCTTGTTTATGTTGATGATTGCATACATGTTGCCATTTGTGGCCTAACCGTTGATATGACTTCATGGTTGTTCGATCAGATGTTTTGACATGATGTGATATTGTGGTTGTATTTGGATTCACAAGTGGGGGAAATAAACTTCCCAGGGTGATATTATGATGTTTAAGGAGGATGACTTGCACGAGGGTTTATCTCGAGGAAGTGCAATTATACGACTCCTGATTTACCTATGTTGAGCCAATTATGGCCAGGTCAAGTTCATGTGCAAGTAACGAATTATGATTAAGCAAGATGAGATATGGATCATGTGTAAGATTACCAAACAAGAGTGATTTGGTCTCATGGTCAATTACATAGTAATTAGGGCTCTCCACGGGTTGGATCAGGTCCTTAAGCCCCATTCCTTAAGGAAGATCTTAAACCTATTCCAACCAATAGGAAGAGGAGAGATAAAAACATTACTAATCATTGACTAACTACCTAGAAGAACAATAAAGGAATATAGTAAATATTAATGATAATAATTAAATGAAAAATGAAAATTAAACTCATGGTTATTAAGAGGCGGCCGAATCCATTATCAGAAGACGATTGTCCTCTCTAACCCTAAACCTTCTCGCCGTCGGCATCCACTCGGCGCGAAGCTCGTTTCGAACACCATTCAGAGACTCAGCAACAACCGTCGTCTCGTTCCCCGACAACCTAGCTTCGTCAGCAATCTCGACGTTTGCGTCTCGTTGCCATCCCGACGTCAGCGTCCCGTGGACACGTCGCCAGGTCACCATCTTCCCGTCGTCACGGCGCCATCATGCCGTTAATTTCCCGTCAGCTCCCCTGTCCCCATCCCGCCGCATCCTGCCTAACTCCGTCGTCGTCCCGTCGCCATCCGACATCTCCCCATTAGGTCGTCACCCCATCTGGCCGGTCTCCAGCTGTCACGCCTCCCGACGGAAGCTTTTGCAGAAGGGGAGAAGATGCGTCGAGGCGAATTTAGTTCATAGTATTATTGTTTACGTTGAAAAATGACAAGAATTTCTTAATAATGAATTCGTCATTTGTTTTAAATTATGTAGAAAGTATTAATAATGATATTGTATATTATTAACAATAATGAGCTAAAAAGTTGATAATATCGTCACTTGAATGTTTACAACACAAGTAAATCGTGATTCAATTTGATTGAGAACATTAATAATAGCGTCACTAAATATGTTAATAATGTAGGCAAAAACACTAATATAAACTATTAAAACGTTGACAGCTCAGTTACGTTGCTTTAAAAACCTCAAATTAGAAGCTAATCTTATTGTGACATCATTTTAGTTACTATTTAATAATTTCGATGATCTAATTAATAATAATGATGTGGTAGGATAATATATGTTTACAACACGATCGATAAATCGTGTTTCAATTTGATTGAGAATGTTAATAATAACATCATAGAAAAATGTTAAAAACCTATGTAAAAAAACTAATATGTATTGTTGACAACATTGACAACTCCGTTACATTGCTCTAAAAATCTCAAATCAGAGGCTCCCCTTATTGCACATGGTTTTAGTTACCTGTTAATAATTTCATTAATATAATTAATAATAGAGCCACGGAGGTTAACAATGTTGACAACACAACCATTAAATCACCTTTTTTATTGATAATTATAATAGCATCAGTAAAAATGTTAATAATGTAAGCCAAATCACTAATATGTAAGGTTGAAAATGTTGACAACTCCATTACATTGTCTCGAAAACCTCAATCCACCAGCTACCTAATCCACAGGCTCCTCCGTTACGTTGACAATTCTGTCGCGTTTCTTTTTGATGGCAAGCAACGGATGTAGCGGGCCGATAACAAGTTTGTTCTTACAGATATTGGATTGTGGCATATCGTGTAGCACTACAAAAAAATTGATAATGGCGTTCAAAATATTAATACGGAAAAAATGCTAATTGATATTCAGCTTTAATATATCGGATTCTTGGACTTTATGTGATTATCCGTGGTATGTTATAGCCAATTGGTACTATTTTAGGGCTCGCTAACCCGAGAATGGTTGAAAACCCATTACTGCCTAGTGCCATGAGTTCGATGTATTACAGGTGAAGAAAACACGAAAAAGAAGTTGCACCGGCAAACAATTCTCGAATGCTGGGCTTAAAGCCCAGCTGGATGGGGATTAATGACATGGGCCAGGGGATTTTTTGGACGGGCCGAGGGGAACGAGAATTGCTTTTGGCAATATTGGACGGCGGCCAGGGCAATTATTTGGGAGGAGGAAACTGAATTTGTGGCGGATTTTCTATTGAGAAAGCAAGAAAAGAGACGCAAGTTTGGGCCACGTAATTCTGCGGGGACTTAATTCTTGGAGGATAGTGATTTATTTGAGGGAAGAGGCAATTAAGTGAGGAAGAGGGCGGATTATTCTTGGAGAGGAGCAGGTCGCAGCGCACGGAGAGGAGGCTTGGGACGGGGCGGAATTCTCTGGGCAATTGAATTTGGGCGGAAGCTTTTTGGAAAAAGGACAGAGGTAGAGGAGCGCAGCGGAGCTTGGAAAAGCATCGGGCGATTGTCGATTTGTGATCAATTTTCCAGGCGGCTTGAGCTGAATTCAACGAGAGCGATTAGTTGGTTGGATTCTCTGAACCAAACTCGTTGTTTATTGTTGATTTAGAACATGATGAACAAAACCCTATCGATTTATCTTAATTTCGTCATGAACTAAATCCCAATTTCTGGGGGAAACACCATAGGATGTAGCTATTTCTTGATTTGATGGATTGATTCATGATTCTGTTCTTCCAATCTCTATTGCATGGAATTGCTTAATGCTTTGTGTTGACTGGCCACCAATACATCGATTTGTAGTTAATTAGGTTATTAGCGACAGTGAAACCCTAATAACTGAACCTGTTGCATGTGACATAGTAACTTATCGAAGCGACAGTGGATTAAATAAGGTGCTATGCGGTCTTAAATAGGATATCGATCTTCAGACTATATAGTTAATTCATTGAGCTACGACAGTAGGATTTGAATTGATTGTTTAGTACGTAGTAATTCCCGACAGGGATAGCTAGCACATTCGTGATATCCTGGCTGTAGAGGTGTGGATTAAATTGATTGGAATGTGTGAATTAATCTGGATAGGATAGGTAGTGAATCCCAGTGTTTCTCCCAGAGCTTTCTCCATTGAATTAAACCCGACACTTTAATTTGCTTGTTTAGTTAATTTTGCTAGAAGTTAGTAATCTCATTAAACATTTTCACATATAGTTTGCTCAACAAAAATTGAGAGAACTTAAGGTTGTACCAGTTCCTGAGAGACGATACCCGGACTTTCCGGATTACTACTAGATAGGAATTGAAGCTATACGCTTTTGCCCTATCACTAACAATGAACAAAGATTGTTAATACTACACATTAATTCAATCGACAAATTAATAATGACACACTAGTAAAAATTGAACATGACTTTTAAAATATTACCAATGGATGAAGAAACGTTAACAATAAACTAAGATTGATAATATTACACGTAAATTCAGCAGATAGATTAATAATAGCACATGCTTAATAATAAGACGGGTCATTATCAAATCATGCACGATTGACGACATCACTTCAAAATATTACAAATTACTATGAACTAAATTAATAACATACTATATTAGTGAATTAATACCGATTACCAACAAATTGATAAAAACAATTACAAATCGACAATAAAAAAGTTAATAGCACAACCTAACATAATTAACAGGCCTATCGGACAACATTCACAATACGACAAACATTGACTATTGAGCGGGTAAAAATATTGACCATAGCCCTTCAGAAGATTACAAATCATGGCGACGTAAATTGATCATAAACTGTATTAGTGAAAAACCCTCAGCACACATTATTAGTTTTAACAATCTTTGTAATGCGGGATAAGAAAATTATAAGAAATAATTGATAATGGGATTAGTAAAATTGATAATAAAGATGATATTATTAATAATGAATGCATGTACATTAATAATGGAAATATATAAACATATTGATAATGGCCTTTATATACTATTACTAATGAGTGTATATATATTATGAATGCATACCTATGAGTTACACTATTCTCATTGTCAATGGTATTGGCAAAGACGTTTTGATATTATCAGTTTTACTAATGTCATTATCAATTTATTGATACAAATTGAACACAACTTTGATCATCGCCCTTTGAAAGTAAAGAACCAGTGCACCGAAATTCATAAGTAACTTTATCAGTAAGCCAATTTCGACTACCAACAAAAAGATTAATAACACCGTGTTAAATATTAAAATTTATAAAAAAATAGGTTAATACGGAGCATGTTACTAGTTAATAATGTATATTTTTGAAACGTTAATACCCGCTGAAGAAACATTAATAACGTCGAGCTAAAACTCTTCAGCGTTAATTCAACAGATTGGGAAAAGATATTGCCCATCGTCATTGAACGGGATCCTTGGAAGGCGACGAAGATTACCTTGAACACCGCCTAGGAGAGATCAGGGAACGAAGACAGACTAAACGGGATAGATGACAGACTGAAGCAAGGCCGGAACGGATTTTGGGGACAAAGCGAGGGCCAAACTTGAAACTGGGGCGAACAAGAAGTTGTGGCGCCGATGGCCGGAGATTGCTGACGAAGGGACGCCCGGATAATATAGACAAAGATTCCCGACGACGGAGACGGCTGGAGACTGCTCTCGAAGAGACGGGTTAACACAAAACCTGTTACACTGGGAGGGAGAAAACCCGACGGGACGTGGGTTTGAAAATTAGTAGAATTTATTATTCAGTTTTTATATTATTTATAATTCCCAACGTATCATTGACAACTTATAACTCCTCACTAACTAATAACTCCTTACTAACTACCTAAAACAAAATCAACCAATCACAACGTTTTAAGATCCTTAGGGCTGCTAAACGGTACGGTAATCGGTTTACCGTTTATCGTTTTACCGGTTTCGGTAATACCGGAATTGCAAAAACAGTCGCCGGCTGCCGACACCCTTCTCCACCCGGCATACCGTCTTACCGTTCGGTACGGTAACGGTAAGGGAAACGGATCCCGAATTACTGACAGTCACTTGGAATTGGCTAATTGAGACGGCCTGATCCTGAATTTCATCAACGCGCGCGAGGCGCGACAACGCCATTGCAATTTCCAATTTGCAATGCTTCCTCCCGTTAGGCCTCTGTCCCTGTCTGGCTGCTGTCTCCCTGTTGTCGGCTGTCCTTTCACAGATGACCTCGTCCTCATGACAGACCCCATTGCTTGAAGTTGCACCCACCATTATCAGCAGCATGGCCTCGTCCTCATCAATCATCAATCATCACCATTCAGGCATTCACCAACGCCACGTCGCCAGCCCACATACCATCATTATTTATTCATTCCATTCCAAATTTCCAATCCACAATGTGACTCATGAGAATAGTAAACACTAAACAGAAAAAAAAAATTATGGCCGCAACAATTTTTAATTTTGTTTTCAATTCTTAGTTTTAATCCAACGCCACATTCCAATTCAATTCTTAAGATAGTAAATAAAATTGAGAATAATAAAAAAACCTAATTCCATTCCAAATGTCAATACTCAATTATCAAATACTCAAATCAAATGTCAATAGTTGTACTTGTACGTAGTACGTAGAATTCCAAATAGAGAAAATAGAGCAATCTGGTCTGCAGCTTCTAAATGTTTAAATTAAATTCGAAGACATGAAGATAAAAAATAGAATTACTAGTTCCTCACTTGCCACTAGGACCTGTACCACCAACATCAACAAAACCTTGTTGCTTCAAAGTGGTGCGAAGGTTATCATCACCATTGTCCTCCTCGTCCTGGTCCTCCTCATCCTCATCCTCGTCTGAATCTTCCTCCTCTTCCTCCTCCACCACAACAGGTAAACTTTGTTTGACACCTTCACTTGGCTTGGCAGTAGCTCTCTCCATTCGAGTTTGGAAGTTAGTAGTGACTAAGTGTAAAAAAAAAAATACAATTGTTACATTTCATCTAATAATATGTAATCAGAAATGGAGTAATGGAAAACTTAAAAATAAATGAAATTAAGAATTCTTACCACTTTCATAATCGATTTGGTCTTGATTTTCATCTTCTGTATCATCAACTTTGTCTGCTTTCTTTCCTCCTTCATACCTTATCCAATCTTCAGCACAAATCAAGGCCTCTACAATGGTGGGTCTCAACGAAGACCTAAACGGACTGAGCACTCGACCTCCACAACTGAAAGCAGCCTCTGAGGCAACAGAGGAGACTGGAATAGCTAGGATATCCTTAACTATCTGGGAAAGAATAGGATATCTAACGTTGTTCTTACTCCACCACAGCAAGATGTCAAACTTCATATCATTATCATCCTCGTTAATAGCATCATCAACATCTCTTAAGTAAATGTCTAGCTCAGAAGAACCTCGAATCCCCCTCTGTAGTTGCTCCTTTCTCATCTTGAAGAATTCAGCATCAAATGTCCCTCCATAAGATGCAGATCCAGTACCATCATCAGCACTAGGAGTGGTAACAGTAGGCTCTGAGGGTTGAGGTGCATACTTCAATCTGTAAACCTCAAACATTGCAGTCATCTCTGCAGTCACATCTTTCACCAAATCGTCTCATTTCTTCTGCCCATATATCTTATCCCACATCCAATACAAATAAGCCATTTTACGCCTAGGATCTAGCACACACGCCATGTAAACCAGCCTATTTATCCTTAGGTTCTCCACCTCTTCATCATCATCATCATCATTCTCAAACCAATATTTTCGTACCTTTGCCTCCATTCTTGCTGCCATCCGTTGTATCTCTACATCCATGTCTTTCTTAAAAAGTTCTATCACTTCATAGATGTCAGCAATAGCCTTAAAGAAAGTATGAGCAGTCACATAAGATGTTCCTGATACATCCAAAAATAACAACAAATTATTCACAAATTATTTGAATTACAAGTTGAATCACAAAAGAGTTATGTTTGTTCACATACCTGATACCCGAAAGGTGAGCTCATAAAAGAACTTCAAATACTTCATTAGCCGTCGAATACTGGTCCAATCTTCCTTAGTTGGAAGACCTCTCTTTGAGTCCACATAATCCCGAAATGCAGAATCAGTGGGGCTTCCATGCAAGAAGTTAAAGACAGTCTCAAACCTTTCTGCAGATTCCAACGTCAAATAAGTTGAGTTCCACCTAGTTGGAACATCCAAAGATAGAAGTCTTCTTCCATCCATTGATAGATAATCAATGGCAGATTTGAACTTTGCACTTCTACCTGGTGATGACTTCACCCATTTAACACAATCTCGAACCCTTTCTACAGCAACTCCAACCTCCTTCAACCCATCTGACACAACCAAATTGATTATATGTGCTACACATCGAAATTGCAAATACTTCCCACCAATCAATTCTGTTCCCCACTCTTTCATCTTTGTTCCCCATTTAACACAATCTCGAACCCTTTCTACAGCAACTCCAACCTCCTTCAAACCAGAAGTCCCGTTATTGTTCTCAAGTAAATAATTTAGTACAAAATAACAAAAGTTCTTATGCTGGGCTCAGGGGCTATGCTCGGCTCTGCCTTATGTAAACGGTAAACCTGCAAAAATTAAAACTAAAGCAAACTAATTAGTAATTATTTATTAATAATCAAACAATTGAATAAAAATAATTACTTGCTTTGCTTCATCAATTATTCAATGACAATTGAGTATTGACAATTATAGTATTATACAACACAATTCTTTCATCACTGTTGACCATCAATCAACCGCTATCATGCTAATTAAGTAATTATTAAAATTATTCAAGTAACAAACATTGTTGAATCTAGAGAGCAAAGGTGAGTTACACACCATAAGCTAAGCTTCACCAAGAATAGATTAGGTCTCTGCCATTAAAATGAGTAATGGAAAAAAAAAAATTGGTTTGCTGGACGCCTGGACCTGGTCGAGACAACTCACTCACCAGCTGTTTTACTTTTACTGTTTTACAATCCTCAGTTCCTCACGTCATTAATATTCATTAAGCAAATGCAAAAGTGGAAAACAAATACAGATTATAGAGTGAACTGTGAAGGGACGGTGAGCCCACATGTCTAATTTACATGGCCAGTACAGACACCGGAGAAGGGACGTTTAGCCGGAGAAGATTACCTCTAAAGTTGACGGAGAGCCGGAGAAGGGACGGCGACGGTCTGACAGAGTTCAACGGACAGCGGAGCGGCGATGGGAGAAACTTGCCGGGAACAGAGCCTTGATTTGGGCTGTTGTCTGCAGGCTTCGACGGGGATCGACGGCTGGCTTCGACCAACGACGATGAACAGGTTCGACGGGGTTCGACGGCTGCTTCGACGGGGTTAGAGTTCGACGGCTGGCTTCGACCAACGACGATGAACAGGGTTCGACGGCTGGCTTCGACGGGGTTCGAGTTCGACGGCTGGCTTCGACCAACGATGATGAACGGAGGAGGAGGGATCGGCGGTCGTTGACTCGTGGTTTGATTGGGATTTGGCTGGCTGGCTTCGATCGTTAGGGTCTTAGGGAATTAGCAATTAGGGCTTTTTAGTTTTTAGGGTGGGTGATTTACAGTGAAAATAAATTATGACGATCCGCATCCGCCGATGAAAACTCAATGTCCCATTCGGTGCCGGAATCCCGTTTTGCCGACGGTAAATTACAATGCCGGTCCCGGCATACCGCCAAGTGAAGAAGTCCCAGCCGCTTACCGTTTTACTCGGTTACCGGTTGAACCGGTTACCGCGGTTACCGGTACGGTAACCGGTTAAACCGGCAACCGAGAACCCGTTTGGCAGCCCTAAAGATCCTCCTTAAGAAAGGAGGCTTAAGGACCTGAACTCAGGCCGGCTCCCCATGCTATTACTCCGTTATGATATGTTATGTCACACCCCTGATGTGGTGTTGACCGTTGATTCATCATGAGATATGACCACACCCAGTGTGGTGTTGAGTCTGATATGGCCACACCCAGTGTGGTGTCAGGTCTGATATGACTACACCGGCAGTGGTGGGTCTGATATGACCACATCCACGAGATGTTTGGTCCGTATTCCCGGGAGAGTAATTAGCATGGGAGTAGCCAGGCGCCTATAAGTAAAACATGATAAGACGCATATGCATGAGTCAAGGTGGTTGAGTCTTTTGCCCATTGGGACATGAGGATGGGTGAGTTCCGATCCTAGTGTTTTGGCTTGTTTGCTAGATGTATGGTAGGGGTATGCTCTGTTAAGAACTCACGATGCTATGATTATCTCACTCAGCTATGAGCTGACCCTCTTTATCCTTTTTTCTCTGCTTATGCCATGTGTAAGCAGATCATCATCATCAGCAGCAGTAGATAGGTGTATAGGTGGGAGCTGAGCAAGAGTTGAAGGCAAAATGAGGTATGGTCTTCAACTATTCTGTGCTTGGACTACTACTCGGGATTTTGGCCAGTGATCCACACCTTTTTGTAAAAATGTTTTGAGAACGTTTTTCATGTGCATACTAGCTTCTGATGTAGTGTGAGATATCCACAGGTGTGGAAGTTGATTATATGTGTATATGTGTGTGGTGGTGTAAGTTGTGACGATTATGACATGTATAAGTATGGTATGTAGTTGCAGAGTACGAAAGTGTGACTATAGCTATGAAAGCCAATGTACATGGTTGTGAGTATATATGTATGTCTATGAATGAAGGAATTCAGATGATTTATTTTGCAGGTCTAGTTGTAAGAACTGTTAGCCCATTACGCGAGTAATTCATGTCGAAATTTTATTTGGGTAAATCACTGGAGCATTTACAACTGGTATGTGTGACTTTGTCACTCTCTTCTGGTCAGTAAAAGAATATGGCAGTTGGTTTGCTAAACTTTGTAAATGAATTATCTTTTGAACTTCAAGTTCACATTGTCTAGTACGAGGATCAAAGTGAGATAATGATAATTCATTCCAACAAGTATCTTTTCCCAGCTGATTGTTCTCACCCCCTAGTGTTGGAAAAACTTATTCGTCAAAATGACAATCAACAAAACGAGCAGTGGATAAATCCCCTGTTGAGGGTTCTAAGTACTTTATGATTGACGGGGACTCAAATCCAAAATAAATTCCCAACCTCCTTTGAGGACCCATCTTAACGCGTTATGGTGGAGCAATATGGATGTAGACGACACACCCAAATATTTTCAGATGGGAAATATTAGGTTCTGGACCGAAAACCATTTTCAAGGGGGAAATTTTATGATAACTTGTTGGCCTGATGCTAATTAATGTTGCCGCATGCAATATAGCATGTCCCCAACAAGAAATTGGCAAGCTTGTTTTCATAAGCAATGGTCTTGCAATCAGTTGCAAACGTTTAACATCAATCCCAATGGACATACAATAGTCATTGAAAGTTTTGAAGTGAATTCACCAGCATTATCTAGACGTATTTTCTTGATTGGAAAATCAGGAAAATGTGCTCGTGACGAATCAGTTGGGCAAGTAATCTAGCAAACGCCACATTGCGAGTTGATAGTAAACACACATGTGACCATCTCTAGTTGATGCATCAACTAAAACCATAAAATATTTAAATGGTCTGCATGGTGGGTGAATTGGCCCGCATATATCACCATGTATACATTCTAAAAATGTAAGAGATTTACACCTTACTTTTACAGGTAATGGCCGTATAATCAACTTGCCACGAGAACATGCAACACATGGTAAATCTTTAAACTAATAAATTTTATGACCTTTCAATGGATGTCCACATGTATTTGCAATGATTTTTCGCATCATAAGATCCGAGATGGCCTAACCGGTCATGCCAAACTATAAAGTTATTGAGATTTGTAAACTTATGGTTTACCACTGCATGTGTTTCAATTGTAATGATAAACGTGTAGTACAACCCAGAAGAAATAGCAGGCAATTTCTCCAATATGTATTTCTTATCGGAGACCATATTTGTTATCATAATACACTCTTTATTCTCTTCTTCATTTGTCTCAATATGATAACCATTTCGGCAAATATCTTTGTAACTCAACAAATTTCTTCGAGACTTTGAAGAGTATAAGGCTTCATCGATATATAATTTGGTTCCTTCTGGTAACAATACACTAGCTCTTCCGGAGCCTTAAATTAAATTAGTACTTACATATATGGTACTAACATTTGCGTCTCGCATTTCAAGACAAGAAAAATATTTCTTATCTTTCAAGATTGTATGTGTGGATGCACTATCGATAAGACACACATTATAGTTTTTTATCTTGGGACTAAGCATGAGAAGATTCATTCTTCACAAAATATAAAAAATTAATTCATATTAGAAATTACTCTAAAGAAATAATGACATGATTAAACTAGATGAAATAAAACTGCAGTATATTAAAAGATAATAAAATAAAGGAAGAATTAATTTTGAAATAAAATTCTCAAATTTTGAAATTTAAATAATATATATTTGAAACATTACTATCACGTAACAGATGATTGAATTTAATTCCAGTCATTGACTATAAAATAATAATAATAACATACATGTGTTTCATAACACATTTATTTACATAATGACATGTCTCATTCCATTCACTTTTAAGAATGGTTTGTTTCATTCGCTTCCGGGAATGAAATAGCATCCTTCGAACGAAATCATTTTCTTATCAAAAGATCAATACGCTTTCGCCTTTAATGAGCAAGAAACATACCTTATAATTTCTAAAATCTCTTGCATAACATTGCTACTGCAGGAGCACATATAGATGTTCATTTTCCCTTCAATAACTCTAAGAAAAGTTAATAAAGTCTTGTCGTACAACGGGTACGAAACCAATGAAAATTTCCATTGCAATTATAACATACATTCCCAATATTCGTGTTTCCTCATTCACTTCTTCCCTCGCTGCTATTTCCTTTTATTTTCTATTTCTGGGGAAATATTCTGAAACTATCAATTCTCTTCATGTCAATGTAAAAATCGCTAAGAATATAATCATACACATATATCCATAAAAGAAAAGAGAAGGTTGATGTACCTTAAACAATAAATCTTTCTTGCAGAAGGTAGAGCTTCGTGCTGATAATGTGTTATGAAATAATTGTAAAGAGGAGTAGACACAATAGTAAGAATAGAGACACAAGAAGAGATGAGGAATAGAGTTTTCTTATTCATGTATTTCTTAGTACAATAATATCCTCTATTTATAGGCACACATCACATAACCTCTATATTCTTACAATCAATATACATGAATGTGAGACTGAATGTGAAATTGGAATGAGTTGAGTGGTTACATGTAACACGCAGTAGTGCATCTAATATAGTTGTCATACATATTAATAATTACATAATAATGATAACAAGAAAGACAATGATCAACAAGAAAGTAAAGAACACATGGATTTACGTGGTTCTCCAACATGTGTGTTGGTTAGTCCACGAGCACGCAGAGAGCCAGATTCACTATATTTAAAAAGAGATTGAAACAGGTTATAGAGAAGTGTGAAAAGTATTTATAGTGATTCTCTACATTTTTTGACTTCCAATTGATGATAAATTATTCGATTCAAGTCACATCAACCTAGTGCAAGATATGTTCCTAACCTGGCATTTGTACATGTGTTTTTTTTTTAGTTATTATTATTAACGTGATCGGTGGATTGAGTTTTTAGTTATTAACGTTATTGCCCCACTGTTTGTAGTTTCGGATGGAACAAAATGCACTTTTCTGTAAAGTAAAATTTGCTTTCCAAAATCCTAATTTTGGATGGTTCGGGACTAGATAGTATGACAACACTCCTTGTGTTGTTATTATAACAACACTAGTCTCCAACCAATAGAAAGTTAGAGTTGTGATGACTTCTTATTAGATGAGTTGACCTAGTGTAAAATCAAAGCATGGGTATAATTGTCATTATGAAAAATATGTTTAAATAATAACAAAATATAAAAAATAAAAAATATTTTTTATTTTCGGCCCAAAATTTTGGTCGCCGGAATCCTGCCACCGGTCGCCGGAAAATGGTCGCCGGTCACCGGAATATGTTTTTTGTCGCCGGAATATGCTATTTTGTCATCGGAATATACCACCGTCGTCGGAATATGCTCACCGCGGTCGGAATATGCTTACCGGCGTCGGAATCTAGTCATCGGGGCAGGAATATGCCTATCGGCGTCGGAATCTGCTGACTGACGGTCACCGTAGTTTGGTCAATGAAATTCGTTGACCGGTCAACGGTCAACGACCAGCGAATGTTATGGTCTGCATTGTGAGATTTATGGTTTGGTTTCTCATATTTTTGTATGCTTTTTGTGGTTTGCTTTATCGTGTTTGTGGTTTGCATTAAGAAGTTTCTCGTTTGCTTTATCGTGTTTGTGGTTTGCATTGAGAAGTTTCTGGTTTGCTTTCAAAAAATTTGTGGTTTGCATTGAGGGACTTTTGGTTTGTTTTAATATATTTGTGGTCTGTTCTTGGACGTTTCTGGTTTACTTTTTTTGTGGTTTGATTTACTGTGTTTGTGGTTTGCATTAGGAGGTTTCTGGTGTGATTTCGCAAATGTTGTGGTTTGCTTTGTGAGGTTTGTGGTTTGTTTTAAGAGATTTGTGGTATGCATTAGGAGGTTTCTGGTTTGCATTAAGAAGTTTATGGTGTGCTTTCGAAACTTTTTTGGTTTGCTTTGCAAGGTTTCTGGTTTATTTTAATATATTTGTGGTCTGAATTATGACATTTTTGATTTGCATTAGGAGGTTTCTGGTGTGCTTTCGCAAATGTTGTGGCTTGCTTTGTGAGATTTGTGGTTTGTTCTAGGAGATTTGTGGTATGTATTAGGAGGTTTCAAAACAATAATAATAACAATAAGCACTACGGAAAGACAAAAGGAGAACACTTAGGTCTGAGTCCTATGTCAACTATAATTAATTATACTAATAAACTGTGTGATAAACTGATAATTCTACCACAAAGTTTGTCATGTGTCAATAATTATCACAATTATGTGAGGTCGAGTAAAGCAAGCCCCATAATATTTGTATGTACCAAACTAATTGAGTGATCTTTCTCTTGGAAACTACAATTCGTGGCCAAACCGCATGCAGCGAAGGGTCAAAGTAATAAATCAAACATCTGTCTTTTTCTTTCTTTGAGTTCACAGACAAAGAATCATATCCCCTGCAAATGACCCACAATTCTCTTCCAAACTCAATCTCGATTCCACCTCCCTCGGTGCCCACTCTCACCTCCTTTTTCATCTTCAACCCGGTTCTCAACTTTGGTTTATGTGTTCTTTCACCTACCACCCGAGTCCATCTCCGATCTTTCCTTTTCTGGCCAAATCCAACAGAGGAGAGAAACTAGTGTGCCCAGGCGTTGATGCGGCCAACGAGGAGGTGGCGAGACCAAACGACGAGGAAGGCAAAGCGAAATCGGGATCGAGATCGGGATTGCTTCCTAGTCGTCAGGTGAGGCCTTCATCGCCGGAGTTGAAGCTGTTCGATGCGACGGTCGACGTAGGAGAAACTAAATTGTCAAGAACCAGTTGCTCCCAATAACTCGAGTTGTTGGGAGAGGTTCAATCGTGGATCATATAACACAACACTAACACGCCCCCTCAAACGAAAGCCACTCACAAGGGCTTGAAGTTTGCACAGGTCTGAAGACAAGAATACCATGTGCTTAACAAATGGGGGTCACCGGGAATCGAACACAAGACCTCTCGGTCACAGAAGGCTCTGATACCATGTCAAGAACCAGTTGCTCCCAATAACTCGAGTTGTTGGGAGAGGTTCAATCGTGGATCATATAACACAACACTAACATAAATCGAGGGCAGAGCTGGTGGAGGACTCGCCGTCGAGGACGAAGATACAGGGGGAGGACTGGAAGAAGAAGAGGCTGTTTGCCATGGGGAAGAACTCGTGGGCGGAGCTCGGCGTCGGAATCGACCGCCAACAAGAAGCTCAAGCGGCACCTACTACCGCGGAGCTGTCGGTGCTCTCGTCGTCTACGGAGAGGTTTCTGGACAGCGGGGTGGGAGACGGGATCAGGAGGAGGCCTCTCAATTTCACAGCACGACAGCAACAGCGAGAAGAGATCGAGAGGCGGAGAGGGGTGGCTGGGGATTGAAAATTTTTTTTTTTTAATTTTAAGTTATTACTTTGTGTTAGTTTACCCTTTTACCATTAATGAATCTTGTTGTTGAACATTATGAGTGTTGTTATACTATCCGCTGCCGTTTTAGGAGCCCATTGGAGTTTGGAGATGGTCTTGTAAGCCTAAAGGCCAAAACGACTAAACAAGACCACCTGCAGTTCCAATTCCAATTTCCAAGCTGCCGCCTCTCTCTCTCCCCTATATTTCTCTGTTCCACTTCCTTCCTGGGGGCCTGGTCCGGTGGTCCCCCAAACTTCTGCCTCCAAGGGCTTCTCTCCGCGAACCATAAGAGACGAGAGAACCGCGCGAAGTGGCGAAGTGGCGAAGAAGCGAAGGATTGGAGGAGTGACCAGCGACACCAACGAAGATTGTATAGCGAAAATCTGCGTCGTAAGCCTTCTGAACACGATTCTCGCTTTTATCCTCTTTTCCAGACATGATTTCTATTCGCATTTCGTCCAAGTCTTCTACGTGCCTGGTTGCGGAATTTCGTCGAACAGGTGGTGAGCTAAGTCGTTTAAATACCAAGGAACATAGACTTTACTTATGAAAAACCTTTCCAAGTAGCAACGTGTTTCCAGCTAGATTGATGGTTGAATTTCTGCTGATTCTGTATGTTTGCATTGCATATCAACGTTTGTGAGTTCATTATGTTGGGTGGTAGTATAACTTATTCAATGTATTTGGAAGGGAACAGTCTCATTTTCATCTCTTTTCATGACCCTAAAATATGGGGTATGGGGGCAAGTACAAGTAATCGCCATTGGCTTAACTAAGTCTTCGTTTGAATCCTGCATATCTTCTTTGAGAACAGTTTGGTAGATGTAGGACTTTTTGTGTGATTATTTGTGCACACTATGTCGTGATGGGTGGCAGCCAGCCACTCTATAATTTGGCCTTATGACTACATTTTTGTGTAACATTTGTGATGCTGGGTTCATGTTTTGCCATCTTCCATGTTAGGCTAATATCATAAGTCGGTGGTTATGATTAGAGCAAGTGAAAGATTGGAGATAATGCAAGGAACTGTGCAGTTGTAATTGAGCTCTTTTTCAAGATGTAATCATGTAGAAGGTTAGGATAGAGGAGAAACGAAAAAAGAGCTAGGCTTGGTTAATGATTTTTACGACTTTCAGGATTAATAGTTGAATTAGAGTGATCACTTTCAATCAAGTTCATCATAGACGCATGTTTGTTGGAAGTACATGACAATTGACAACCATTTTCGAGCATTTAGTTAATGATGAAGAAGAGGCTTCTGTGTAGTGAGTGTGTGGGCTTTATAAGGGTTATCCCATTTTAACGTCATCCTCTTCTTTGGCAGGCAGCTACCATAAGTTTAGGATGGGTATAGTAGCCAAACTGAAGCGCCAGGAAGCGAGTTGCAAGCGTATCTTGAAGGAGCTGCGCGCACACGAGCATGAAGTGATATCAGAGGATGCCAAATTATCATCCATGAAAGGTGAAGGAGCGAATTTGGGTGCCCTGAAGCACCAAGAGGACTTGCTTGCAGAGTGGCGCTTCATGGTTAAATGTTCCTATGACCGCCTGATCAGTGCACTTGACTATCTATCGACAACTCTTGCCGAGGCAAACGAGCAGTTGGATTTGGAGGATAACCCACTTGTGGTCGCATCTGCAAGAAACACTGCTGATGTGGTTTTCGCTATTGTCAGTTGGCTCAGACGCGACCTTTAGGAAAAGAGCTCATGTGCTGATTGCTCGCGAGAAAATTACATTTGACTCCTGTTATTTCTACTCTGGACAGTTCTTGTATTTTGAATTTTCTGGTGTCAGGATTGCTTCAAACAGGGTTAGCGATTCTGCCTTGGGATTGGTTACGGACAGCGGATGTTTGGGTTAACTTCCACCACATTTTTGGTATCAAGTTCTGAGATCACAGCAAGACAAGTAGGAGACAACAACTCTAGTAGAGGATGCCATACGCGAACCAAGAGCGAGAAAATAAATATCCATTCAACTGGTCGATCGCAGTTGTCCAGTTGAATAACTGAATGTGTTTCGATCGCAGACTTCGGTGAATGTCTGAGCGATCGTCGATTGGTACCGGACAGATCTCTGCGTTCTGCTCTCTCCTTCCCCGCGATTCCTTCTGCTCTCTGTAACGTTCTGGAGTGCTGCTGGAACAATTCTTGGCCATTGAGGATAGCAATTGGGAAATTGAAGAGAAGAATAGAAGGGTTTGAGAAGAGAGGTCTTATATATGTTTTGATCAATTATAATCAACTACCTAATCTCCCCGTCTTAACAAAAAAGCCACAATCATTGCACTCTCGCACTGCGCTCTTCGTCGCGCCCTGCTCTCTCCGCCAAAGAATCCTCCCGGTCCAAGTTAATAAATTTCCCCACTATTCTCAAAGTCCGTCCCAATTAACTCCAAAAGTGAACATCAGTACCAATTAGTCCCCTCCTTGCCTTTCTTCCACCGTATGAGACAGAGTTGATTGAAAATGGAATCCAGAATGCAAAAGGATTGCTCTGCAGAAGAAAGGAGAAGAAGACATGAAACCTCTGTTGGAGAAACGTTTCGGGATTAAGTCTCAGAGGCTAGTTAGTGTGAATGGTGTTGCGCACCATTTTACCGTAATTCTAGATTAGTCGTTAAAGAACAGTTTTATGTTTAAACCCAACCAGTCGAAATGTGACACGTGACTTTTATCTGTAAACCGGATTACAAGCTGATAAAAAAAAGAAGCAGAGCAGCTAACTGTTGTCTTTGTACATTTCGGCCATTTCTTTACCCTAATACTTGAAACTCAACACCGTTACGGAATTGGTTCCAGGAGATCGTATTGGGAACCTACGCGTCAAAAGTTGTGGGTGTTGTGCTCGGGTGTTGGTGGGCTTTGTGTGGTGTCGAGTTATTGGTAGCGGGCTTCGCTAATCGCTAGGCAGGCTGGGCAGTGCCAGTAAGGGAAAATCTTGCTATCCGGTTTATCGCATTTTTAGGTTTTAACCAGATCGGACCGAGACCGATTTTTTTGTGTTCACACAACCACAAACCGAATTAGGTGGATGGGCATTCGGTTTTAACCAGGATGGTTTAAATTGGGATCCAGATCATGAATATTTGGAATCCATATTATGCAAGGTTTTCAGTTTGACCGAAAAATCGGGGCCGGATTCGGAATTCCTACCCATACGTGTAACTACACATGGTTATATACCGGATCTTTTATCCTGTCTTCCTCTTAGCATAACGTTCGCGACCTAGCTAGAACATAACTTCCATGTTCGCATACAGCGTCCGTGCTCTTCCTCTTTGCAGAATAAACTGAAGAGTCAAGAACCTGCCGGCGGTTTGATTGATTTAAACATTGAAGCTTCAAGAAAGCACTCCGAAGTGCAAATGAATACAGCAGCCGAGGCAGCCTTGAACATAATGGTGCGGATCATGAAAAGAATGACAATGGCGGTGGTAGCCATGAGAATCATATCGATTCCAAATCCCAGGTCTTTGATTCTGCCTTAGACGCCCCGAGTATATGTTAGCTTTTGATTTACGGAGGGAGGGTTATATGTTCAGTTCCCGACTAACTTTTTATGCACAAACTTAAACCTCACAGAAGCTTCAACCCCGAACGATGAAGCAATAAATAGCAAAGTTACCTCAGTTGCAAAAATACCAGATTCACACACGAGTTGCCGAGCTATAAAACATTGGAACTTGTAAACAAGACAACCACATTCAAGACGAAAGTTGCACCACTTGATGCATCATACTGATCCGAAGAACTGTTCCAGCGACGTAGAGCTGAGGACGTTTCTATGTGAATGTTTGAGCTTTGTTGGAGAGACATGGACTCCATAGTTGATAAACCTCTGCAAAATGAGAAGAAAAGAAACAGAGAAAGCAAGGCAATAGAAACATGTCACTCAATTATATGTTCAAATTGTTCGTCAAAATATGAGTAGTTGAGAAAATTACAGCTAATTCAGCAAAAATTTCAGCATTGCTGTCAATATGCCAGTTTGGTTCTCGTTGCTGAACAAAAGATGTGAAGCTAGTTTCAGCGCTGCAGAAGTGAACCTGCAAGGGGCACAGCAAGCAGTTCAATAGATGCAAGAATAACAAACGTAAAATGGACGAGGAAGAAAACTACTGATATGCAATCCTACAAGCCTTATAATGCACATTGTTAAAGGTTTAACCCTCTCTACCGCCACTGCATAGTTTACTCACAAATGGTCACCAGCTTGAAACAACCAGTAGGTTAAATGGCCGAGTATTTAGTTGCTAATAACAATTGCTGAAACCAGGGAACATAAGGCAACAATTTAAACAACTAAAGGATGTAATTTTGTGTCAGCCAGGTAGGACATCATGACTTTTCTTTGTCAAAACAAATGATAGTCATTGGAAACAACCCATAGAAAGGTGCAGCCAAAAACTCTCTGTAACAGCTGGTCAATGACGCTTTTTTTTTGCACAGTAACTCCCTAAGATCTCAGGCCAGCCAAATGGAGTCCATGTAACCAGTTGATGATGACTTTCAAAAGGATAAAATGGGAACTCTTACGTCAGCAAATATATCATAAACCAAGTCTGTAAAGCTAAGCTTTTCTCCAGAAGTAGTGCACCCCCCTCTTTTTCTCTCTGATTTCCAGTTCGGTTCAATCATAGCAATATCAGAAGAGCTACTAATTACCTTGTCCTTGACCAAACCAACAGATCTAAAAGCTCCTGCATTCCCCAAAGCAGCAAGTACTTTTTGCTGCAGCAAGAACATGAAAGAGGCAAAATTAATTCTCAATGAAGAAAAGAGATCCAGCAGAAAACCAAGATCCAGTCAACTAGCTAGCTATCAGGGCAATTAGCAAATTGTAAATTATAAGATCTCCTACATTGCATATTCTGAAGATGAAATCATTTTCTTTGTATCAATAGAGGATAGAATAACAAATGATACAAGTTACAGAAAATTCTTGATTATATTTGGACTTACTTCACTTTCCTCATCCAAACCTCCTTCCACAAGATAAAGATCACAAATTTGAGTAATCTTTGACAATACTTCTAGAACAGAGGATCTCACAGTCGCTTGGTTCTGTTCATAAGAAATTAATCAAGTTATTAGTTTGAGTGAACGTATGTTAACAAATACTAAACATAAAAGGTCAGTAGATTACCTTGAGCTCTTGTGGTGTGTTTTCTTCCAGGATTACCCCAAGCAAACGACAAGTGACCTACAAAGAAGGAGGACGACAAAGCAATATGTCCTCAGAGCTGGCATTCTAGATGAAAAGAAGGCAGCAGAACTTAATGGTAAGGCATATGAAGAAAGAATCACACAAGTAATATATAGTTTCATATACTGAATCTCCGCATGTAAAGTGCATCCACCCACCCACCCCTACCCACACACTATACCCACACAATATGGGAATTGGGAAATGCAAAGCCTCCACCCTTCCCTCCTTTTCTCTCTCCCCACTTCCTCCTCGACAAAAGAGAACTAAAACTTTAGAACATCAACAAGTAATGTGTAGAGATATCCAGCTTGAACTCCAATAATGTCAGCATCACTACCTTTTTGCCTCTCAGCTTTCGCCTCACTGCTTGCCCCAAAGTTGCCTGAAGGAAATAGAGCACTACGAGGATATGAAGTCTGTGAATATTCTGAATAAAGCAAAAGATAGAAAACCAACGGTGGTTACATTAAAAGACTGGAAGAACTCAAGTCCATTGTTCTGTGCTCTCAATGCCTCTGAAAGTAAACCAGCTGTAGAAGGGAATGGTGATTTCACTTCCACGGAATAATTTATAGTTGCAGGTTGCGGTATGCTTCTCTTGGGGCTACTACGTGACCTCAACAATCTCCACGAGAAAACGACTGCTGCAAGACCCAATATGGCCCCAACAGACCAAGAACCCTGACAAAATATGTAAACATGGTGAGAATCAGCGATAACTTCATGGTTTCTCCTTTCACTCACTCCTGAATACAAACTAGACCTCACTCTTCACCATCAAATCAGGAGACATTCAATGAGTCCTAACCCTTCTTTGGAAAAGCTAATTGCTACCACTCCATGAGTCGAGATTTGAACTGAAGCATTCAACTATAAAGACATAATTACCAACAAAACCTCATCAATCGATTGTTAATTCCATTGCTTGACAAACCAACAAACAAAACTCAGGCTCCGACAGAGGTAACAGAGTTTTCGAAATTTCAACTTTCACAAGCTTGATCGAGATGAATCCCGCAAGAGCCCGACTTGATTCAGTGGCAGTCACTGACTATTTCGGAACCAAATGACTGAAAACCCAAAAGAACTGAACAAAGCAACAACAGGTCACGCATCCGCTGAATAGGGTACGGGATCCGAGAAAGCACTACCCCTTCAGAAATCAATAGCAAGATCAATGGAATTGTCCAATCCATGAAAGGAAAACGAAAAAGGAGTAAGGAATCGGGTATCTACCAGATTACGGGGTGATATCGAGTTGAAAATCGACATTCTCAAATAAGCTTCAACCGCTTGATGAGCCGAAGAGCCCGCCGTTAGATGACTTCGCCTTGTCCACCTTGATCTCTTCTGGAAAGATGGAAGAGACGAAAACCCTAGGCTTCCGATTAATGATCACTGAACACAACTATCAAGACAATGTATAACATATGTAATTGGGGGGGAAAAACCTCTCGAGCTACGTCAGATTGGGAAGATTGAGTGCTCAAGTATTGCTATTGCTATTCGGATTGGGAGATCATCCTGAGGGGAGTTGAGAATCTACGAAAAGAGTTCCGTGATAAAGAAGATTCCTTTGATGTGTGTTTTGGGGCTTCGGTGGAGTCTTGTGCTCATAGGGTTTTTGGTTTATAAGGGCGGGTAATACTAATTCTCTTTGCAACATCAAAACCCTCCCGGTAGAATTCGAATGAATAAAATTAATTCATACTATTAAAACGGATGAGGTGAGGATTTTGGAAATCGAGTTGAATAGGTAATGGGAGGTCGAGGAAGTCTATTGACAGCAAAAGTAGAGGGTCCATTGGCTAAGGAAGGGTGATAAAAATACATCCTATTTCCATACGGTTACGCGAGCTCGCATGAAACGGAATTTTGTGTCTGACCATCGTCATAATAGTGGGGAGTGGGTCACTGAAGAGAGAGGAAAGGCGCACATTGCCATTGATTTTTTTATCAAACTCACCCAACCCCTCAGAAAACCAGGCATTGAACATGGACGAGCGGGTGGATCCACCTTTTTACGTCCTCATGTCGCCACGCGCCGATCTCCCAATAGCCCATCGAGTAACAGGGGAAATGAATGTCGGTCTTACGTCAGCAGTCCTGCCTAGTGAGGTTCAGAAAACGGTCTCTCTCTATGGGATCGAAACAGGCTCCAGGATCTGATGGTTTCACGGGGAAGTTTTTTCAAAGCGTTTTGGGATATTGTCAGCGATTCTATGATTGAAACTGTTTGCTCGTTCTTTATCACGAGCAGGATTCTCCGTAGTTCTAATCATAGTTGGCTGACACATATCTCTAAGGTGGACAATCTCGAGACCATGAGGCAAATCAGACCAATTAGCTTATACCAATTTGTGTATAAAGTTATAACTAAAATCATGTTGAAAGGTTGACCTGCCTCTTACCCCAGATGCCTCTTACCCCAGATCATTTCGGAAAGTCAAAATGCCTTCATCCGTGAAAGGAAAATAGTAGAGAATGTCCTCCTAGGGCATGAGTTAAAGCATTACTTGAAAATCAAAACGCAAGGTAAGAAAGGGTACATGGCTCTGAAGGTTGACATGGAAAAGGCATATGATAGAGTCGAACGGCATTTTCTCCTTACATTTTTGGACAAGATGGGTTTCAACTCTATTTGGAGAGGCTGGATACAGGAATGCCTCCGATCAACGATGTTTTTGGTCCTTATGAATGGCACTCCTTTAGTGATCTTCACACCCTCAAGGGGACTCGGACAGGAAGATCCGCAATCTCCGCTCCTGTTTTTGCTTGGCACGGAAGGGTTTGCGGCTCTCCTTTGGAAAGTCATTTCTGAAGGGAAACTTGAAGGGGTTAAAGTTGCCTCTAGAGCTCCTCGGCTCTCGTATATGTTCTTTGCAGATGACTCTTATTTATTCCTCAGAGGATCTCTACAAGAATGTGAGAATTTGATCAAGGTTTTAAATGAATATGAGGAACTTAGTGGCCAAAGAGTTAACTTGCTAAATCGGCAGTTTACTTTAGCAAAAATATCGCCATGCCGGACCAAGATTTCTTGGCTCAAATTCTGGGTGTCGGGGTTGTAGGGGTCCGAGATAAATATTTGGGGTTTCCTACACTGATAGCCAATCGAAAATGGCCGCGTTTCGATACTTGGAGGAAAAGTTGTTGAGTCTAATTCAGGGATGGAGCAAAGGACTCTGTCTTGGACAGCTGATGAGACTTTGATTAAATCACTCGCTTTAGCTCTTCCCTTGCATGTTATGTCATGCTTCAAGTTACTCTTTTCCTTTGTTGCCTCTTAGATAAACATGTGGTCAGATTCTGGTAGGGGGCTGAAGAGGGTCAGTCTAAAAATCGATGGATGTCCTGGCGGAATAGGTGTCGTTGTAAACATGATGGGAGTATGGGGTTTTGCCGATTTGAGCATTTTAATCAGGCGCTCTTAGCCAAAATTGGATGGTGCATCCTTAATGAACAACATTCCCTCCTAGCCCAGGTTTACAAAGGTAAATCTTTTCCGAATGGGACCTTCCTCGATGCTACTGCGCGATCTCGCCCATCTTGGGCATGGCAATGTATCCTTTATGGTCGGCAGTTATTAGTAAAGAGGCTACGGTGGCATATTTGGTAATGGTCGGACAGCTTCTCTGCTTCATTCTAGTTGGATTCCTAGGTTACATCCCCATACCCCCAATGTATAACCCTCAGGTGTTACCAGATGGTGGTGACCTGACAGTAGCGGAGGTAATTTGCCAATGGGAGGGGCGATGGCGTGATCTAAAACTTAGCCAATTGTTCGACCTGAAACCTTGTCAGGCCATTAAAGCAATTTCTCTCCCTCGGCGGGATGTTGAGTATAGATCTAGCATGACACGCCTTATGGGATTTTCATTGTTAAATCTGCCTATCATTTTGTCGTCTTGTTAGATAAACAGGAGGGTTGACGGAGATCCATGACTAGCTAGATGGATAGATCCAGTTGGATTCGTTTATGGGAAGCCAATATTCCACCCAAGTTAAGAGTATTCTTGTGGCAAATCTTCAACCGCATCCTTCCAACGACGGAAGCCCTAATCGAGAAGGATGTCCATGTACTTCCCAGATGCCCGGTTTGTTGGGCAGAGTTGGAAACAATGGAACATTTGTTTCTTGATTGCCCAGTGGCAAGGGATTTATGAGATCTTTCGGGCCTCGAATATCTTGGTCAAGGACTTCCTTGTCATACTTTCCCACTCTTCATGAAAAAGTTGATGTTGCTAATACATCAACCTCAACTGTTCATGGCGGTAGTTGCGGTCCTTTGGAGGAACTTGCAATCACAAAATTGGGCTGTATTTGAGGGTAAACAGTTTGAGGTCCCATATTTAATGCGACAATGCCACCAGCAATATCAGGAATGGGTTACTTTGCCAGTAGACTATGTGTTGCAGTCCTCCATCCCACTAGCACATTCATTGGGTGGTGTGAACCCTGATTCGATTGTTTGTATGTGGGATGTGGCAACTAAGAGTGCATCCCTTTCAGCATACGGGATGGTTATCAGGAGTCAGGATGGGGAGATCCTCTTGGCTAAAGGGGTGCGGTTTGTGGAGATTGATGATCTTATGGTTGTTGAGCTGCTCGTTCTCCGGGCGGCTATTCTCTAGTGCTTGAAGCATGGTTTTACGAAGACAAGATTGGAAGGTGATGCCAAAGTGGCCATTGATAAAATCAATCGGGTTGACACCCAGGATAACGGGATTGGGGCCATCCTCGAGGAGATCGTGCATTATCTCGCGCTTCACAATGGCCTTAGTGTGTGATTTGTTGGTCGGTGTAGTAATAGAGTAACCCATGTTGTGGCTAGAAAGACCCTTTCATTGTACCCGACTATGAGTCGTTTCTTTAATTTTCTGGCCTGACTGAATTCCAGGATTTAATTACCTATTTGTCAAATCAATATATATGATTATCTTTTTTCCTGCTCTTGGGGATTGTGTTTCAAGGTACAACCTAGGCAAAAATAATACAAGGACGAAAAAGGACTCAAATGCACCCTTACATAACTACATTTGGATCTTAATTTAAAGTGGACTCAGATGAATCTAAATCTAAGTGTTGGAAAAATTAAAAAAAAATTTATTTTCTCTAGTTTTCATAATCGATTCTTATCTTTTTCGTTTTAATTTGGATTTTAAAAAAATTTGAACAGATTGAATGAGTTTGTTGTGATCTACAAAATAAGATTCATTTTCAACATATTTCGAGAAAAAAAAATTCATACCACTCATTAGCAACTAGGGGTGGCCATTCGGTCGATTCGGTTCAAACCAAACCGAAATAATGCATACTGGGTCCCCAAATTCCATCAAACCCCAAACAGAATTCGAACTGAATTATAAGTTGGTTCGGTCGGTTCAAACTGAATTATAATTCGGTTCAGTTCGGTTTTTTCATACAAAACCGAATTTGTGAGGTTATCTTGTATTTGCTCTCTTTTAAGTTACTTTTCACCTTAATGTGAACAATAAATACGCCATTATATGCATAAAATCAAACATTTCAACACATAAGTCATAAAACACTAACATGATTCAAATATTTAAGTCCTATAATAAGTACAAACATAAAAATCCACCATTTGGAGCTTGCAATTATAGTAATTCGGTTATTTGGTTCGGAAATTCGGTTCGGTCGAAAGGACCCTGATTTCCAAAATATGTCATTTTCCCTTCCGAACCAAATAACATTAATTCTGTTTCGGTTCGATTTAAATTCGATTAAGTTCGGTTCGGTTTTACCGAACCGTATGCTCACCCCTATTAGCAACCTGGAAGGATGCCACACTATTTGCAATATCATCGAAAAGGGAATTATAGATCCAACATCTTACAATATTATCAGAACTATTACAGGACTGCCAAATTGGATCTACAGGTGAGGAACATGAATCATACTATTCACAAAATGTAGCTTATTCTTCGTACTGAGGGCAATCTCCATCATTTTGCTCAAAAGATAGTAGTTTCGAGTGGTGGTTAAACCACCATCGTTAGGAGGAAGATAGTAATTATTGAGGTATGGATCCTCATATCTGGTGTTTGGGGAGTGTTTGTGGAAGGGTTGTGGAGGAAGAGGCGGGTCTTGGTTTCCAAATCCAGCCAACTCAGAGCCATCTGATATGTGGCCATCAACTCCCATTTATGATCAAACATAGTGAAGGAAGAATGCTAAAATTAATTAGAAATTGGATGAAATGAGTTGAGATCTAGGTTAGAGAGTAACCAGACTTGATACCATGAGAAGAAAAACAACATATAGGGTTTTTGGGAAGGATTCTCAATCGAGAGCCTTCTGGTTTTCTTATTTATGTATAAATAGTTCAGTTCTGCAAAGTGTTTTTGATTAGCGACAGCTAATCTACAATAACGAGTGGTATAAATTCGTACCTTCAGTGCAAAAATTTGTTCGTGAACTTTTTCTTCATAAATTTGTAGATCCAACCAATCATATGATAAATTAATACTTTTGTGCATTCAAAATTCAAGTTAAAGCGAAATAGCATCATGATAAAGTTAAACTATAATGTTCAACTCTCTCATATTTAACAAACAATGAACATTTAAAAAAAATATTCAATAACCTACGAAATTAAAAAAGTTGAATTATTTAGATATCTACATTCCAATCCTCAAAAGTCTTTTTTTTTTTTTTTGTGAAACAATCTAATTATCTAAATTGGTTACAGAGAATAATAAATAGTATTAATTAGGATACAAAAAAATTTCTTTTATGGAATATACGTTATATTGTGATTAAATAGATGACAAACTTGCATTTATACAAAATTCCAGAAAAAGGTAACACATTAATAAATTATTAATTATAGATTTTGCTAAATGAGTTGCGAGAAATGTCAGCTGGGCAGAGATTGGGAATCGAAGAAGTTTCCCTTCACCGGATGCGGCAGGACCAGTTACCAGTGAATTGAGGTAACGGATGAGTTTGGTGCGCTCTTTGGATTTATTTGTGTGTTTCTGTTATTGTTATGGAAGCGCTATCAATCAATCATAATTAGACTCTGGCTTTGAAGAAGAAGAAGAAGAAAGAAACAGAACCTCCTACTTACCATTTCGTAGCTTTGACGCCTCTTTTCTTTCGATTTTCTTCCTTTTCTTCTCGGAACCCAAACGTGGGTTTGAAGGGTTCGATTTAATTTTCCCAATAAAAAGTGTTCTTTTTTTGAATTCCGGGTTCCGCAAATCTTCTTCCAATCTCAGTAGGTGGATGCACCATTTTCTTCCTGTATATAAATAGCTGCCACCTGATTTTGTGGTTCACCTTCAAAACAGGAATCAAGCACAGAGAAAATAGGAGGAGAAAGAAAGGGCGAGCAAAGGGAAAGGAATAAGGAGATTGATTTGAGTGAGTGAGAGTCTCTGTTCTGGTCTAACCATTTTGTCAGGTGTTCGTAAATCAAGTGGGGTTCTTTTTATTTTTTTATTTTTGTTTGTTTGCCATTTTGATTTTTGTTTATCTTCTGTGTTTATCATCAATCACTCTCTCCCACTCTTTTCTCTAAAAACATTTGACCTGTTTAACGGACAATCAATCAACCCCCCTTTTTGTGTTTGAATTGTGTCAGGTTATCGAGATCTGGGAGATAAAAAGGAAATGGCCACCGATTCAGCTAATGGACAGCACCAAGGAACAACCAAACCGCCTCCACAGCCATCCCCATTGCGTTCTTCCAAGTTCTGCCAGGTGATCTTAAAACGATTCCCAAATCTCAGCTTTTGCTGTTAATTCTAATCATCATTCAAAGTTCGCATCTTTCTATGGCATTGATTACTGGGTCGTTCTCCAAATGGGGTGATCGGGTCTCCTGCAAAATCTGTTCATTCTCTTGCAAGTGCGTTTTCATTGACGATCTCTATCGGGTTATTGTGGAATCCATGTTGGGGAGCCTTGTTTCTGACGTTTGGTTTAAGAAAGTGACTGTCTGATCTGTTAATGCATGTGGGGAATTGGGGTAAAGTAGGGGTACTACAATGGTCCAACTGCTGGGACAAATTTCATAATCAATCTTTGTGGATCTGGGGGTTTGTCTCGGAGATAAAAGGAACATGGATTTTAGAGGGGTGAAATTTCATTTGACCTCTGCATTGTGGAATTTCTTGTTTTTGTGTTTTTCTCTTTGGTAGATGTCTGGTACGAATGATCTGGTTGATCAAATTTATGCGCTTTCTTAACTGTAAGTTTGCACTTTAAAGGACAATACCTCGTTTTCAGCTTTTACCTACTCTTGGAGTAGGTCCAGTCTAGCCATTAAAGCAGTTGGGGTGTCGGTGGGATTGTTCCAAAACTAGTTCCTCTTATCTCTTTAGCTTCTCGTATAAAAGAGAGTAGAGGTCTTCCCTGGAAGCCAGTTCTGGTTTTAGCAGAGAAAATTTTCAGCAGGTTCCTAACATTTGATTTGGAACATATTTCTGAATGCTAAAGGTTCATGGCTTTTCCTGACTATATGCCTTATTAGACCATTGCTTAGTGTCCATGTCCTCTCCTTCTGGTTGTCTTGTGCTTTTTCTAATGATTTCTTCACCTTCCATGGCAGTCCAACATGAGAATTTTAATCACCGGAGGAGCTGGATTCATTGGGTCCCACCTGGTGGACCGGCTAATGGAAAATGAGAAGAATGAGGTTAGCCTGTTTCCTTGATTCATTTGTGTTTTGAATGGCTGAAGTTGCACTTCAATGCTTTTTCTTGTAGAAAGATTGTATTGACTTTTTATAAGGCTGCAAGTTAAATGCCGAATAGAATTGCACTTGTTAATTTCACAAGATTGTATTCTGATAGAAGGGCTATTCCCTCATTTGATTCATGATCAGGTAATTGTTGCTGATAACTATTTCACTGGATCTAAAGAAAATCTCAAGAAGTGGATTGGCCATCCAAGATTTGAGCTCATCCGTCATGGTAAGAGCCCTGATCCTACTCTACATTTGAGATGCAATGTTAACCTGCAGCAGTTCAAGTCAAGAGAATTATGGGGAAAAATCCAGCCTGGATGTATTTAGAATTGAATAATAGTGTCCACTGATGCTTCATGTACATGTTGTTGAGAGTTTCTTGGGTTGTTAAAACTGTGCTTTCCTTCGTTCTGTGTTCTTAGTTTCTTAGGATTAGTCATAAATGCACTGTGCTTGTTTCAGGAAGTTCCATGGTTTTTTTACTTAATAACATACTCTGTTCCTTCTGTACTTCCTCAGATGTCACAGAGCCATTGCTGGTTGAGGTTGATCAGATTTACCATCTTGCATGTCCTGCTTCTCCCATTTTCTACAAGTACAATCCTGTAAAGGTGCGTAGTTATATTGTTTTAAGAGCAATCAATCCTTACCTTCCCTCATATGCATTATCTGAGTTTTTGTGTTAGCAAGTTGCTTGCTTTTTTCCCGTTCTTCCAATACGATTATACATCTAGAGTATCTAATGCATATTCATGATTACTGCTACTTTCTTAGGCAAAGCTATGCACTTTTACACTCAGCCACCTAACACCCCTGAAATGTAGATCAAGGTCCTAGGTTGATTTCCATAATCCCTCCAATCATCCATGGAGTGATAAATTTCCTGGCCAATGACCCTTGAGAAACCCGATCTTTGTTGATGCTCCAAGTTAACTAAGCATCAACGCTCATGTGTAACATTTGATCAGGCGATTAGAATGTAGTTTTCATTTCCTGGAGTGAGCTGTCTTGATCTCTCCAACTAAGGGTCCCGGTTGTCCTTAATCCCTCCTTGTAGCCAACTATGTTTTCATTTGTATTTTGTCTATATTTATTTTTCAGCAAATACCTGTGTCGTTCTATTGCTCATGTTGGGTTGTCCTTGATCTCTCTTTGTGACTGCCTATGTTTGCATTTGTATTTTATCTATATCTCTGTTTTTCAGCATATAACTGTCATTATTTTTCTAATGGTAAATGTGTATGTTGGAACAGACGATAAAAACCAATGTGATTGGTACCCTCAACATGTTGGGGCTTGCCAAGCGAGTTGGAGCTAGGTTAGAAACATTAATACTTTATAATGAAGTGATCTCTACCAAACCTTAATGCTAATGTTACTAATCTCTAAGTTTGGTGGAGCAGAATTTTGCTTACCTCAACTTCAGAGGTGTACGGTGATCCTCTTATCCATCCTCAACCAGAGACCTACTGGGGCAATGTTAACCCAATTGGTAAGAAGCTCAATCAGCTTACTGGGAAAGTGTTTCTTGAAGGAAAAAATCTCATGCAGTTTCCATTCCTTCAAAAAACTTGAATTGCATATGAGCTTATCATTTCCATTTTGGTATTTACAGGGGTCCGAAGCTGCTATGATGAGGGGAAACGTGTGGCTGAGACATTGATGTTTGATTATCATAGGCAGCATGGGATTGGTAACAAAGTTGCTTCCTTTGGCACTGAAATATGCAGCATCAGTGTTCTCACTTCTTAACATCCAAAACCTATGCTGCTTTTTGTAGAAATTCGAATTGCCAGGATCTTCAACACATATGGTCCACGAATGAATATCGATGATGGGCGTGTTGTCAGCAACTTCATAGCTCAAGCGATCCGGTAAATTCTTTGACCATCCATGTTTTGCTTTCACAAACTATCTCTTTTATCTTTTTTCACCTTTCTAATGATTTACTGTCTTGCATTTATTCCAGTGGTGAGGCATTGACAGTGCAGAAGCCTGGAACCCAAACTCGCAGTTTCTGCTATGTATCTGACATGGTACGGACCAGACAAATCTCACCTGTGGTATTGAACCCCAATTATCTAAGTCTCACTTTGGATAATGCGTATTTATATGCCAGGTTGATGGTCTCATCAGGCTGATGGGAGGAGAAAACACTGGACCCATCAACATTGGAAACCCAGGTTAGTTTTACTCGTCATCAATCACTATACAAACAAATCGACACATTGGCGCATCATTTCTTTCCTTTGAGTACTGAGTTCCTCTTGACTTGCAGGTGAGTTCACCATGACCGAGCTTGCTGAGACGGTGAAGGAGGTAAGCTAGTGACATTTTTTTTCTCGATTTCATGGTGGTGACTGGGTTCATATGGAGCAATTGTAGTAATGTGATGCTGATGGTTTGTAAATGCCAGCTAATAAACCCCGCGGTGGAGATAAAGATGGTGGAGAACACACCAGATGATCCAAGGCAGAGGAAGCCAGACATCACAAAGGCGAAGGAGTTGCTTGGATGGGAGCCTAAGGTGAAGTTGAGGGAGGGTCTACCCCTCATGGAAGAGGACTTCCGTACCAGGCTTGGGGTCGCCAAGAAGTGAACAAAAGGGTTTCATAAAAGAGAAAGAAAGACACCATGAGAAAGATTGGAGAAACTTTTCGAAGAGATTTCATTTCTATCGGGCTTGTGAAAGGTTTTTTTTTTATTTTAGTTCAGGGGAAGATTTTGGTTTCTTTTGTTGCTGAGAGTCAGCCATTTGATCCGAGTTCTCTCCGTTTGCACCATTCTTCATGCATAGGAAATAAGTGAGAGGAGAGGGTTTTTTGCAGAACTGGTTCAATTTCTCTTTGAGTTTTGGTCTTACAGTTCTAGCCTTTTGGGATGGAAATCAAATAAATTAGAGCGTTTTCATTTCGACTTTCAAGTATGTCGTTGATATTTTATCTATTTTGCTTTTAAACCTATAGCTCTTTTACATTGGGAAGCATCTGGTATCGTTTTCATGACAATGGAGCATCTAGATTCTAGTATAGTAAATCAGGTTATGGTCCTCGTACTCCAATCTCCAACATTGTTCACTTGCTTTATTTCCATGAATGATTTGGTATCAAAAGATCGTAAGACCAAATTGTAGAAATGGTGTTTGGTCTAAATTGTATAGTATTGTCTGGTCACCTCGTTATTCGATCTTGTATTTTAATTACCTAAGGTCCAATTACTGTTCACACCTCGACATGCGAATCGGCTGCCCATTGTGTGGCGCATCAAGTCTTATTCTTTTTTGGGTTACGTCCTACGCTTCATGATTTCTCTTATCTAGTCTATTTTTTAGTCGACAGGTGAGAGTGTTGATTTCCTGTAACCTCTCTTGTCCCTAACGTTTAAATCGGAAAGGATTTTTTTGACAAAAAAAAATGGTACTATTTTTCAACCCTAATTTACTTGTTATATTTTCATGAATCATTTTGTACAAAGTGATTCGTTTGCCAACGATAAATAACAAGTCATCTGGTTCTAAAAAAAAAGTGCATAGGACTGTTCTCTCAGTCATTTTCAGATGACTCATACTTCCCAATCATAACTTTGTCAATTTTTCATGAACCCAATACTACCTTTTTTTTACTGAATCGCTAAATGTCGCCGTTAAAATTGCTAACGGTCGCCCTAACTCTAATGATAAATGACTTATATACCCCTAATAAAATTTCAAAATTTTAACAAACCAAACAATCCCTAACCCCTCAAACTGAACCCCTCATCTCCCTTCTTCGCGAATCCCTCTCGACGCACCAGTTCGTTGGCGTCTTTCTCGTTGTCGTCGTCGCCCATTCTCTAACGAAATTTTCAAAAAAACGCTCAACCTAATGCAAGTTACGGTTGATCCATGGTGCAACCGCAACTCACTTGCGGTTGGTCCATGGTGCAACCGCAAGTGAGCTGCGGTTAGCCCATGGTGGAACCGCAAGTGAGCTGCGGTTGCACCATGGACCAACCGCAACTCATTTGCGGTTGTACCATGGACCAACCGCAAGTGAGCTGCGGTTGGCCCATGGTGCAACCGCAAGTGAGCTGCGGTTGGCCCATGGTGCAACCGCAAATGAGCTAAGGTTCCCTTTTTTTGTTTTTTGTTTTTTTCAATTTTTTGAGTGAACTTTACCGATTCATAGTCGCTAGTCATGATCCAGACATCATATCGACGATTCCAACTCCAGAATGACGATGATGGATTCTCTCTTTTGAATAATGTTTTATTTTCTTTACTAAGTGGTGTTTGTTTGCTATAGGAAGAGTAAAGAAGCTAAAATGTTAAATTTGTAACTTTGATGTTTTTTAGGGCGACATTTAGCAATTTTAAGAGCGACCTTTAGCAACTCCTTTTTTTATTGCGTCTTCATTAACCCGTGAAAAGGCTGGGTTTGAACTTTGAAGTGGTATCATTTGCCTTTGTAGTTGAACTAGAAATGTCTCTTTTTCAGGTATGGAATGCCTTTGAAGTGGTATAATTTCCCCAACTTCACACGTTATTGGGAAGCTAACAACCACATTAAGGCCTATTAAAATAGCATAGAAACCGCTGAGTTTCAAAGGGTGAGATGCCATGCCAGGGAGAGAAGCGATCATCGTGCTCTGATCTTGCTCAAGCTGTTAAGGAACACATACTCAAATGTAAAATTTTGGCACCAACTGTTTCGATACCGATTAAATATACCTTACAGAATAACCAGGCTCAGATCAAGAAATAGAATATCTTGTGCTCTATTCATTTCAAGTCAAGCAGTAGCTGAAAAAACATAATCACAGCTAGAGTTTGTAGAAAATTCTCTCATGTTATTATAAACGAAGAAAAACTAGATGTGCTTCTCCCATCAAGCAACCAGCGGAACACAGCAACTGCATGCGGATTCCTCCAGCATTTAGCTACAAAAACATATCAAAACACAAGATAATATCAATGAGATTCAGTTCAGCATTGACATCCATACTTCAGATTATCAAAACCAAAACAACCTTTCCCCACCTCCCACAAAGCTGAATCCATTACCATAGGTAAGAGAATATGCACACGATAAACAGGACATAGCATATCACCAAAAAATCAACCATATGATCACACAATAAATCAACGGTGTAGCAGAAATCAGTTAACCAATTATAAACTTACACCCTACGAGGACAGACTCTGAGTCTCTTAACTATTGAGACAATAATTAAAAAACGTAGAACGATTTTAGAGCGTGTTTGAACAAGAATCAGGATTATGGAACTCCGATTTGCTTTTAATAGGCACTCAATGCAATCCAATCCCGCTTGTGACTCGACTACTGATTGATTTAATCTCCTAACCGTCTTCATGCACATAATGAACGATCGCAGCAGTCCATTATAGTATGAAGTTTCATAGAATAGTGTCTCCTCAATATGCAAATGCACAGATCTTCAAACAAAAACAGAAACACACCTATCCAATTATGGCTAACTCCCAATTCCAACCCACCCAGAAAACAGACACTCCCAATTCGTAATGTCTACTAAGCAATCACAAGATCAAAACCAACAAACATTGGCAATTGGACGGGGCTCTCAAGAAGGAACAAGAAAGCCCTCATCAGATCCAATCGTGTTAGCTATTCAGATGGTATAAACAGGCCTATCAACCCCACTAACCGCAGAAGAAAGTGCGTAACCCTACACATATAATTTACAGCTTGTAATCACATTTCCACCCAACTCAAACAAAAGCAAAATCAAAGAAGCTATTTTCTACCAGATCTTAAACCGGTTATCTATTTTCGACATCTAAACAGCAATCGGACACTGAAGCATGCAACAATAGGGTATTATTAGGTTGGAAATCTACCTCTTGTGCCTCTGGACGAACTTGGAATTCTTGGCGTCCTCCTCTGCGAAATCAACAATCCAATGAACAGATTAGGGTAAAGAAACTATAACCAATGAAACAACACGCTGTGGAACCGTAACAAAGCCAGCCGCCACGAAAATGAAACAAATCGCGTAGATCGAGAAATCGCACCAGTGAGGCCGAGGGACATTTTGGTGATGATGGTTCCGGTGACGGCGAAACCGACAAGGAACGGCCAGTTGCGATTCCATTCTCGCTTGAAGAAAACTGGCCACGGGTCGAACAGCCTCACCATTTTCTCTCTGGATCGTATTCTCTGAATTTTCCTCCCGATGTTCGATTCTACGCTCCTCGTGAAATTCTCGAGTTGTGCTGAAGGTAGCCGATGGGATTATATTTGCCCCAGAATCGATGTTTTAGGTCGGGACTCTCTTGTAGGCTTGTGGGCTCCGAACCGATTACAACTCTCCCGGGCTCCAGCAACGATATCCATGATCCAATAAGGGCTTAATTGAAACCGATTTGGATTAGGCTAAGAGCTATCAGGCGTTATCCGGTGGGCCCTTAGATCTATGGGCCTTTTTTGTCATATATAGGATAAAATAGATAGTTAGCGAACAACAAACGATCAAACGTGACAGTCGACAAATAGTCGGACGGTTGAATGTTAATAAAAGAGCTTTTTGCCCACTAAATAGGCTTGTTGTACCTTGAAAGCACAAGGAAAAACAGAAAAAGAAGAAATAGCTACACGAATTTCCTCCATAATTGCTCCACCGTATCCATGTGAACATGAGCAACATTCCGCTCCCGAAAAATCCGAATCAAAGTTTTTCAATCCCTTTGCTTTCACATTTGGACATTTTGGATGATGGTTTTTTCATATGAGAGATCTAACTTATGGTTTTATGAGTGTTATGTTAGCTGATATTCTGCTACATTGTTGGATTTGTTCGGTTTCTCAGAGGTTCTTTTGGATGAAGGCATATTCTTTTTGGGTCTTGCTCATTTGTAATGTTTTTTTTTATTCTTTGGATTTTCATAGAGCTGCCCAATTAATGGCCCAAGCTCTTCATTGGTAGTTCGATTGCACACGAACTATCGCTTATGATTCTTTTCAGTATTGTATTTGAGTTGTTAGACTATGCCCATCGGGATTATCTTGGTACGACTTATTTGTGGTATCTGCAAACCGAATCTCAAAAAGTTATGTGAAACTAAAAATTCATTACAAACAAACTATTGAGCGCAAATTTACGACAGTTAAAAGTGTTGACCTAGTTAATTAGATGTAGATCATATGAGTGTCCAGCGATCCACCTAGGTTTGGTGTTGTTTGCTGGGTCCGACAGCAATCCACCTAGGTTTGATGTTGTTAACTTGGTTCGACAGCGATCCACCCTAGGTTTGGCATAGATCATGCTTGTGAGCCTAACCAGCCCTTGATCGCCGTATACTCCAATGAACAACATGTTGGTTCGGGATGAGATACCGTCACAACCCCCTTAGGGTTGTGAGACTGACAACCCATTTTATAACCATAAAATTCATTCTCTCTCTTGTCTTTTTCTTCTTTTTACTAATTGATGGTAAAGATTGGATTAATGGTATTTTTTACGAAAAAATTGACCACACTAGATTATTACATTTATTAATTTACTCAAAACCCTACATTCTCTCTTTCCTCTCTCTCACGCCATCACCACCTTATTCTTCCTATTCTTCTTCTTCTTCCTCCCATCTCCTCCCTCTCTCTCTGTCGACTGCCGCCACCACCGCCGCAGCCCTCTCGAGTCTTGTCAACCCGTCGCGCCCTCTGCCTCCCACCACCGTCGCAGCCCTCTCGTCGCCCTGTCGCGCCCTCCGCCTCCCACCACCACCACAACCCTCCCACCGCAGTCATCGCGGCCTCCGCCACCCACCACCGTCGGGACATCACCCTCTCCCCATCACAGCCCTCCCGTCGCCCTCCGTCTCCCACCACAGCCGTCGCGAACAAAATATTTCATATCTGGTTTTTTTTTCCAGATCCCCCGATTTTTTTTCTAGATCTGTGATTTATCATATTTCATATCTGGTTTTTTTTTTTGTTAGTCTTTAGTGGTAGCGTACCACTAGTCGAGAACAAAATATCACTACCATTAGCGCAGTGGCAAAGTGGTACTTTTTTGAAGGTGGCCTTAGTGATTCTGATCGAAGGATTTCACAAGAAAAAAGTCTACCGGTCGGAGAAAATTTGACGGTCTGAGCAGAGAGGGTGCTGGAAATAGAAGAGAGAGATAGAGAAAGATATAAATGTATTAATTGTAGGGTTTAGATTTTTTTAAAGCATGTATTTCATATGGGTTTTTAATTCTCAATGTGTAACTAAAACAAATTAATTAATAAATTCATTTTTTCATACCCAAAATACCCTTGGTTGTGAATCTCACAATCCTCTTAGGGGAAGTGATCATATCCCACCCCTGTTGGTTCCCTAGATAGTCCAACAAACTGCTTCGAACTCTAGGGTTTTGGAAAATTTTCAAGTATATTTGGGATAGGGGGCATAAGGTACCGGTAGTTGGCTCAGTTTTATATATTGAGGAGTCAGAGCAGTACAACTGGTTATTGTCGGATGTTGTCGGGATCTCCGAACCTCAGATGAGTAATAATATGGGTTAGCGCTCGTCTTTTCACCCAAAAAAATTAGCACCCACCACTACCGTCTGCCCGCTTGGCGAGCCAGTGGTTCGCTGAGTTGGATCTCCCCCATGATTTTAATAATGTACTTATCCATTGTTTTCCGCCTTTTTCTCCAACTAATAACAAACAGCTCTTAGTGCTACTTTTTTAAGTTCCACTTTCCGATCCTTCATCTTTCCCTTCCCGATCTGGATACACGTTGAAATTACTCTGATACAGGTCGCCTCCCGGGCCACGTACGAGTTTTCCGTTGGAGTCTTTCACCTATTTCGAACAGTAAGAAAGAGTAGGCTTGTTCGCCTACTGATACAAGCACGGATCTTATACCCATAGTTATCAAAGTAACGCAGCAAAGAACAGGGATAAAATGATAGGGATAGGATGGAATTGAAAGTGCAATCTCAACACGATATCGAGAGAAGGCTCAATCAATATAGAAAGGTAGAATCTCGACCACAATCAAGGGGAAAACTTGATTGATACAGAGAAAAGGTCAAGCCTCAGGCTCAAAACCAAGGTAAAAATCAATATTCTGCTAAAAACTAACCCTAAAACCCGAGTCTCAGCCTTTATATATCTGGAAAACTAAAAAAAACAAAAAAAAGGAAACCCGAAATTTGGAGTAAAACCAGTTCCGATCTCACGACCGTGAGATGAGGCCGTGAGATTATATGTATTCTGAACACCTGCTTCACTGATCTCATGGGCAGAAGTCACGACCATGAGACATGGCCGGGTATTTGGCCTGAAATAGCCCCAACACCAATGATCATCACTTCTCATCCCACGAACAAGTCGACTTCCATATTGGTGAAGTTCTGGGCTAAATAAGCTTGAAGTCACCCCTTGAATGCCTTCTCATTGCCTTCTTGTCTTCGTCTTTGCCCCCGTTGGAGCCGCCATTGGGCCGCATCACCTACAGTGTCCGGCTATGGATGGGAATGTAGAGCAATGACGCTGTTGTGATCGAGAAAGGGAAGAAGGCTGGAGACCCTCAAGTCATCACCGTGAATTTCCCTAACAAGACTAGTTTGGCGTGCGATATTTGCATAATAATTCTTGACTTTGGGCTGTACGTCACTAAGGGAGGTATGGTCTCGTCAATGCCCTACGATTTTGGTTGGTTTTTAGTTTTTCTTCTTCTTTTTTTATTATAAAGACCTGTATTATTTCATTGATGCGAAATATTACAAGTATCATAAATGAGCTGATTTACAATAAAGATAGGGGGCCTATCTGCCCAAAACTCAGTCTCATCCCACCCACATTGGGTATGGGTCATAATATGAGCCGCTCGGTTACTATCCCGGCTCGAGAAACTGACCGAAAAATCTCCGCTCATACCAGCGAGCTTATCCCTCATTTCTTCACATTCTGCCCCCTCCTCCGTTAGCGACTCTTCCTCCTTCCCGATCTGCTGCACCACTCTTAGGCAGTCAGTTTTAATATCACCCGTAAGATAGCCCTTCTCAATCGCACCTCCAAACCAAATTTAATGGCCTGAATCTCGGCCAGCTCCGCCGTCCATTGAGTTCTCGATCTCCTCACCCTGGCAAAGCAAAACCCTCCATTTCTGTCATGAATTACCACCCCCAAGCCAGTACCTGCTCCGGCGAAGGTAGCGGCATCGACGTTGATCTTGAAGTCTGCTTTATCTGGCGGTTTCCATCGAATCGCTGCCTGGATCCAATGGTCGTCGTCGCGCACTAATATTCAAGGTATTCCAGCAACCACCTTTCAGTTTTTCCCATTACCTCGTATTCTTCCCTTTTCTTCTTGTTCCACTGTTGACAATTTCGTTCTTCCCAGATAAACCAAAGAGCCACTAGGAATTGGGAAATCTTCTCTTCAGATTTAGTCTCTTGAAGACTTGCCATCCACTCTTCACAGGTCAGTTCGTTCCCCTTCTCAAAACAGTGATTTAGAGCACTAGGGCGCCATACCCTCCTTACCCAATCACAGTCGTAGAAGATGTGATTTTGGGTCTCCTTTTGGCCACAGAAGGGGCATTCTTCACATCCTTTTGTTGTTCTTTTCAACACATTTGCCCCAGTGGGCAGAATATTACGAATCCATCTCCACGCAAATACTTAAACCTTTGGGGGTAATCCAAGTTTCCATATCTACTCCCAATTAATCGGGGAATAGAGCTCTCCAAATTCTGCCGCTTGCCTGCTTCGTTGGAATTTATAGGCTGATCTTACTGAATAGATACCAGACCTTTCTTGGCTCAAGATCCTCATATCCCGAGCTGGCTGTCTTGGGATAGGGATTTTCATTATGTTCTGTCTGTCATCCGGAAGAAAATGAGTTTGTAGAAGGCCTGGTTCCAAGTTCTCGACTCTATGTCCATCAATTCATTTACTAAGGTATATGGGGCAAAATTAGAGACTGGAGAGATTACTTTATAGTTTGCTAAGCTAGGAACCCATTTATCTTGCCAAATGTCTACACTGCTTCCATCTCCAATCCTCCATCTTAAGCCTTCCTTCAATAGATTCTTAGCAGCTAGGATGCTTTTCCAGATATAGCTAGGATTGTGCCCCTCTTCAGCTTCCAACACCTCTCGGGAAGGGAAACACTTAGCTTTCATGACTTTGGCTACCAATGAATGGGGATTTTTGACTCGCTCCTACCGTCACTCTAGAAAATGGCCAAGTGTAACCACTTCCTAAAGCGTAGGATAGCGGGTTTGGGTTTTAATGTCAACCCGGGTCCTAGATGTGATGACTACTCAGTGAATTCTTATTATTTAGCAGTACAACTTTAGTGAAGATCCAAACAAGTAAACACGCAAAGCAAGTTAAACGGTTGTTTTCAAGTCGAGAGAGGTCACCCGGATATGGTTCCCCCTAGACTGCAGTTAAGCCGGATTGTAATTTACCAAGTTCAGGTTCAATGATAGTTATACTACGGGAGGTTCTTAAGCAGTCTGAAGTCTGGACTAAAGGTCTCCAGACCCTCTCAATCTGAGTCCCCAGCGGGCGACTAACCTCCACCAGAGTAAACAGATTGAGGCCCTAACGAACCAAACCTCCACTACCGAAGCAAATTCGGTACAGAATAGTGAATTGACTCCTCGACTAAAGTCGCCAACTCACTACCTTCAATCAAGGGTGCTCTATCAACCTAGGCAGATATACTCTTTCTAGGTTAAAGCAGAAACAACAGGAATTTGATCATGATTCATGCCATTCAACAAATCAAACCTCAATTGAATATAATCAAATCATAGAATCTGTACTTGGGTTCATACAATTAGACCTAACATACAAATCTAGGGTTCTCCATACCCAGATGAATGAGGAAGTTACTCCATGGAAAGAGAAGCAAAAGCAAGCTCAGATGCGGAAATCATGTTGTGAAGGATGATAATCTGCTCCTGGTCGTCAATCGGCACTTCTCCAAGTGTGAGCCGAGCTCCAATGGTGATGAAGATCAAGCTAGGGAACTTGGGAACTCTGGTTCGTCGCTTTCTCTCTCTAGGAATCGCTTTCTTTCTCTCAAACTCGGAACCCCCCTTCTTTGGCTAAAAATTGGGTTAAAACCCAGAAAATCCCGACTCATACGGCCAGGCCACACAGCCGTGTGACTCTCCCAGGCTGCCCGTGTGAGTGTCAAAACGCGGAGTTTCGAAAGTGGCTTCAGGCTTCCTACACGGCCACGACCCACACGGCCGTGTGGACTTCCAGGGTGCCCGTGTGAGTTCCCTGGAATTTCCACATGGCCACAGGGGGTCCCCTACACGGCCGTGTGGCTTTTAGGCATGCACGTGTGACATCTCAGCTTCTCGCCAAACGTCCAAACTTCGTCCAATCGACCCCGAACTCGTTCCTAAACCTTCATTCATGTACTAGGACCTGAAATATCACAAACAAGAACAACCTAGCGTGAAATCGGCCTAAAACGCGAGAATCGACATCTCAAACGGCTCAAGAATAGGGGTAAAAACATGTGTAATTAACGGTCTATCAAACTCTCCCACACTTAACCGTTTGCTTGTCCCCAAGCAAACCTAACTCAAACCAATTCAACTCTCCAGACCTCTATAGCAACAAACAACCCCGATCGTCGGTAGAGGATTTTCTAGATCATATAGCAGCTTACGAGGTCAACTGGTTTTCTAAGACATTCCCTATCTCTCTCAATGCGAGTACTAGACTCAAGCCAGGATCATGAGAAGCAGTGGAAGTAAGACAGTCAGTTCATGGATAAAGGGACTCACACCATTCACAACCAAGGACTCGTGGTACCGGGGTGCTCTTTCACTTCATTTCACCGTTGGAACCCCTTTCTCACTTTCATTTTACTTTTTTTTTTCTTTTCATTCACTTGGCGGGGGTTCCAACTGCAGTCTTTTGCACGGTCGACCCTTATTAGTCGAGCAAGAGCAATTTCTGTACATCTGGCGCTCGCCAGAGTACTTCTTTTAACTCCTTTCCCTCAACTCGTGTGGAGGGTCAATGAAATTAAGGGGGTTCGGAAGCTCTATCTGTGCCCTTAAAAACACATCCTCAAGTAGGCAAACCATTCAACGGGTGGAAGTTTTACTTGTACTAGAGACAGCTTAGCTTCACCTTGTAGGAGTACCCCCACTAAGGATCACTAAAATCTCTTCCAAAACCCGATTTTGTGCAATGAACGGTGCCGCACACGTTGGGCTTACCCCATGTTCAATATTTAAAGTTTCGACATGGAGGACGAACTGCTTTTCATTTTTCACATGAGCACCCTGTTCGATACACGAGTCCATAACACAATCCAAATAAAGTCACCATTACCACATGAATTCAACGGTCTTAGCTCCACTAATTCACAAAATCAACTGGCACAGCAGAGAGCTAGATAGGAAAAATCT